AGTTAACACTGTGGTCATGCTAGGACCTGCAACTTCATGTCTGTGACCCCCCAAGCCATGACTAAGAGGCAATCCCTCGGCAATATTTCGGCAATATGGGCATCACACATTGTCCCCATGTGGGGAATCGAACCCAGGCCTTCGGCATGACAAGCTTTAACCACTAGGTTACCCCAGCACACAAAGAAGCACAAGTACGTTACATAACTTACAACTGACCATTCAATGAGGTGAGGTGAAATTGGGTTTAACGTCGTACTTGAGAATATTTCGCTCATATGACGACATGCATGTGTATGTGTGTGTGCGGCTGCTTGCACTAGCCCAGACTGAAGCTGGTTTTATAGTGCTAGCCCACTGAGATACCATGCCGCAGTGAAGCATGAATACCCCACTCAGACACATGTTACTGACTCCAAGCCATCAAGTCCTTGTTGCACCCATTAATGCTGAGCGCCAGGCAGGGACCAACAAGTACCATATTTTAACGTCTTTTGGTATGACACGGTCGGGGATCAAACCCGCGACCTTCCGCTCTCCGACTAAGAGTCCCCTGAAGCAACAAATAGAAGGGCCTGGGAGACCCCTGGTAAGGCATATCAGAAATGTCAAATCTCCTACTTTTTTCCGGAGCAATATTCGGTGTCCATGTCCATGGTCTGGGGAGTCGCTGCTGGGCAGTCAACACCCAAACTGCCTGAGGAGGAGGCTGTACTTTGAGATGGCTGCTGGCTCTCAGAGCCCTGTTGCATGGGTGATGCTTGACTAGCTTCATTCTTATCTACAGGACTCGACTGGTTGCCACCAAGGCGGGCAAGGCGTCTCCTCCGAATCTGGAATAGCAAACAATTTAACATTCGCAGGTGAATTGCAAATCATCGCAAAACTTTATGACAATGCATATCCTACACTGACAAATATATCTGGAGCCATATATTTAAAAGAACAGCACCTGGTTACTGAGGAAAGTTTCCATAAAATACCACAATGCTAATCACTGAAGAACACCGAATAAGGAAAGGACAGAATTGTTTTAAATTTATAATCACAAAGCACCTTTGCTTTACAACTGATAAGGCCAATGGCCTTGTCTAACCATCCAACTGTCAACATTTGGGGGTAATCAGAGCAAGATACCAAACTATGAATTGTTTGAGATGTACTTAATATACATGATACTTCGCAATTCGATGACAAATTTCACACTTTAAACAATATATGTGTTCTTTAAGAAAAAAAAATTTAATCTGACAGATGGTGAAACTTCTGAGGGAAGTAAATTGAATAATGACCAAATATCCTTAATTATAACTTGTAATTTACAAATTCGTGTTGGATACAATCGAAATGGCCTTTGTGATTCCACAGGGGATAGAGCACTCTGTAATTCGAAAAAACACAGCTGATTGGTAACCAACAAACAATGACACGCAGAAAGTCAAAACAGCAGAAGCAAGAATGTTGTTGTTTCAAATCACCTCGTCGGGGGTTAATTCACTCATCGCTTCTGAGTGATTCCTAACGATGTGTTAGAATGTTGCCTCCTGTGAACGAAACTTAAAAGAAAGTGTGGAGTACGAGTGTGAAAAAATATACAAAGATGACGCTAGAAACAATTCACGCCTTGGATTTTCTAATTTTCTGTGACGTCAATTCCGGATTACACAGTAGCCTCCCATGACTGAATTGTCAGTTCCGGTTTTGGAGTTGTCTCCCTGTCAGAAAAGCTATTTCCGTAAGACCTAGTTTCATTTGTTTAATCTCTATAGTCGGTCACACCTGTAACTTCTTTGTGCAGGTAATGAGGGTTGGCGAAGGTTGATCCAGAACAACCTCACATTGTTAGGCAGATATGTGTATGTGTGTGTTTTGGGGAGAGATGGTGGGGTGTGTGTTTGGGGCTCTGTGTTTGGGGTGTTACATGCTTATCAGGATCGATCTTATCCAATTTCATATTTATATACCTTATTGTGCGAGCTACACTTGTTCAATGTAACTAGTCTTCATGTAATACATCAGAAACTCATCACCGTCCTACACACGAGTTAATGGGTTGTTTTACAATGCAATGTCACCAAACAGGTGACAGCACACGTGTTGATGATAATAATATGGATTTCTATGGCGCTTCTTATCCAACTCGAAGTTGTTCAAAGTCAAGGAGGGATAGGCTTCTGAGAAGAGATAAGTTTTCAGCAGCCGGCGGAAGGAGTCAAGTGTTTCTGAACATCTTAAGGTAGACTAATGCTTAGTCTCTGAATATGTATAATTTTGATTGTAACAAACAAGCCCATTTAAATTGAAAAGGAGCCCCAGTGAGACCAGAGATTCACCTGAACCTCGAGAAATCTAGACTTGCTATATTTAGGGTAGCACTGCAGAGACGGTTTGGCAGTAGGGGAAATAATATTGTTCAGGGAGACTGTGAGACAGACTAATCTTAAGGGGGATGGAGTTCCAGAGGGTTGGGTCAGCGACAGAAAATGCATGACTGGCTTGTTTTGTCGTGGTATTTGGGGTGATAAGTTGGGTTTGTTCTCCGACCGTATATACTCCGTGCAGGTGTGTAGAGACTGATCAAGTCCCTATAAGGTACACAGGGGAGTCTGGATCACTCACTGCTCCGTATGTGTTCGGTTTCAATCATGGACAGTTTTTCTGCGTGCATAATTTCAAAGGTATGTATATATATTTTTAAAATGCCAAAGACTGACAGACTGTACAGACAACATTTTTTTCAGGTGAATCCTTTGAATTAAACTACAATGTACATATATTATTGTAAAACTTCACGTGAAGCGCTACACCTAGTCTGTTAGACACGGACATATTGACACAATACATACATGATCAGTCAGGTAAAGCTTCCACGCGTGACTGTCCTTTTTGTCACTGGGATTATTCCCGCTGATGTATTCGTGCTGGGATAGTTGAGGACAACTGCTCTAGCTTGTTTGTCCACAATATTTTGTGTTATATGATCTTTCATAGAATAATTAAATACAGCTCATACATGTGCATTTCAAACAATAAGCAGATACGCTATTGTGAAAGGTAGGTTATAATGCCCTGAATGTTAGCGATTTAGTAACGTGTCATGTTTAGATATTACTTTTTACGAATATGCACCCGTGAAAATCCGGGTTAGAATTGGTCTTCAGCAACCCATGCTTGTGGTAAGAGGCGACTAAAGGGATCGGGTGGTCAGGCTCGGTGACCTGGTCGACACTTGTCATCGTATCCCAACTGCGTAGATCGATGCTCATGATGTTGATCACTGGATTGTCTGGTCCAGACTCGATTATTTACAGACCGTCGCCACATAGCTGGAATATTGCTGAGTGCGGCGTAAAACAACAAACCAACCAACCAATCTTACGAATATGTAAATTGCTCTAAGTACATGTACTCAGAAATACTGTTAGAGACAGACACGCTAAACCGTTGTGTTTTACAACATGTTGAGTGCTGGTTTCAGCTGGTGCTGTCATGGACTCACAATCGCAATCTTAGCGCAAGATTTGACACACCGAATTTTTTATCGAACTGCATGTGCTTTGTGAAATAGGCGTAACTTCCAACTAAGTTAACCTTAACTAGTGCTTCGGGTTCCGATCCACAAAGTGTTCGTAACGTTACGACCCATCGTAACTCTGGCTTATGAATGACGTAATGCTACGAACGCTTTGTGGATAGGGTTCCAGGTTAACTTTGGATAATGGTGTTTTCTGGAATGGAATCTAGACTGTCTAAACTCAGCGACGATGATTAAAAAATAGGTGATGTGGAAATACTAACAAAAACTAGCGGCTCTGTTCCCTCCCCACTCCCCATTTGCTCCTACGGGCCTGATGCGAACTATGTTTATAGGGTGGTAAAGAGCAACGTCAAAGACCTGAAAGATTTCAGATAAGCACATAGGTTTATCAGGGTATCACGCTCCGGGCTGTATCTCAGATCACTGGCGGTGGTTAGATGAGGAGGCGTTTTGTGTTTTGTTGAAGTAACAATCAACCAATCTCATTAAAATAACATTAGCTAACCGAACACAACTAAACGAATACCTCTCTACGTCTACTATTGATGGCGTAAAGAGACATTCATGTAGCCTTAGTGATAAAGCGTTCGCCCGTCACGCCGAAAACCCGGGTTCTATTCCCAACATCGGACAATGTTTGAATTCCATTTGTGATATCCCTGCACTGATCTTGCTAAAAACAGCGTAAAACCACACTCACTCACTCATCGATGTCAGAAATAGTATTACAAACATATGTTTTGATAGCTGATGCTGCTACCATAATCTCTAAATTAACCTCATGATACATCTATACCCAATAGCTAGTGGGTGATACTAAAAACGGTGTTATATCTCGATGCTGTAGATAAGGTGAGGTGTCAACGTCCCCGAACGTACCTGATTACGTTATATAGCTGCCTCGGGCGACGTCGTCGATTATAGGGTCGGACATTACCAGGCCAAGCTGTTGTCTAGTCCATAGAGTCTACCCGAACTAGCATCTCCGTACATTAACACTACAGACGGGTTTAGCGACCAGCACATACTGACACGCCTTCACTTGCACGGAAACTGATGAGGTTGGTCAAACGGTTTTGTTATAAATAATAATTATCATCATTATCCTGAAGGTGTTGCCTTATATACCAACACAAAGATAACATCACGTAATGATAAACACCATGTTTCTTCTACGTATGTGTGGCTGTAAATGAATGAATGAGTGTGTGTTTGTGTGAGAGAGAGAGAGAGAGAGGGGGGGGGATGTCTGTCTTTGTATGTGGACATGAGTATATGGATCAATACGTTTGAGTAACCACTTATAACATTTATTTATTTTAACTAGGTGATTAACATACACTGTGTAATTATATGTGGCACATGAGTTATTTCAATCTTTATTGTAAGTAAGCTTGCCTTCCATCTTTTGGGGACCTGTACAAACTAGGCTCAAATAATATTAGTTGTGACGCAAGCGGTATTTTGATATTCAGGCGTAAGAGGAAACTTGTTCCGACAGATGCTCTCATTTGAACTAAGTCATGTCAAAATACGTGGCAGGAGTTTGAATTACCAAAGTATGACAAAGGTAGATCCACCGGGTCATCTGCTATTCCTTTCACAAATGTTATCGTTCATTCACGCCGTGATGATTTTTTTGCAGCTGATTGTAAACACTCGGTGCTACCGGCCTACACAGCCACGTTGTCAGGTAGCTGACCGTGTGTTGACAGTTCGGCTGTTGTGGTCTGAAGCGTGTGGTCAGTTGATTGTGATGATGCCATGATGTCTTTTGTTCAGTATTTTTGAGCGGAGGATGTTTTATTCACCAATCATTAATTTGCAGTCTTTTGTTACTTCTGGCCGTGACAAGTATTGTCATGAACACTGCTTTGATCTACGTAGCCTACCCACACCGTTCACAGAGTGCTGTGTCACATCAAACATAGATTCATTGATTGGTGTGTTGCCTGTGATGTTGTTCACGTGTAACAGGTATCATAGAGACATTTTGAAAGAGATGCAAGAATCTGATCTTTATTCCATGTATCCCCATGCATGCATTTGGGAATTGTTTAGCATATGTGATCCGTCTCAGTGACTTATTATGAGTTTCCATGAATGTTTGCTCATTTTATACACCTCTGGCTTGTTTATTTAAATTCCCCCTAATCGTAGAACCACTGCAGGTTAAAATAACAGATGCTTGTGAACTGCGCATTGGGGATAACCCCAAATGAGCTGTATGAGCTTAATATCACAGATGACGTATTGTCTGTCCCCAGACGATGAAAAGTGTTGTGTATCAGTTGAACCGATTTCTTAGATTTGGAAATGGGTACACACTCATTTGCAAGAGTTTTTATTTTGTTCAGGGTAAATGTTTTCATGAAAACTGTCAGTTCAAGCTGAACATGTTTTTGATAAATGATGGTAAATGGGTTTAAAAAATATCTGTACTAATTGCTCAAACGTGTATGTTTCCCATCTGAAATACCTCAAACATTAAGATAAATTACTTTGACTGGCCTCCTGTTATACACAGATCAACATATATTCCCAACTGTGACTTGTCAACATATATTCCCAACTGTGACTTGTTTTCTGCTTCATAAACAATGGGGGCGGTGGGGTAGCCTAATGGTTAAAGCGTTGGCTCGTCACGCCGAAGACCCGGGTTCGAATCCCCACATGGGTACAATGTGTGAAGCCCATTTCTGGTGTTCCCCGCCGTGATGTTGCTGGAATATTGCTAAAAGCTCGTAAAACCAAACTCAGCCAGTCAGTCAGTCATAAACAATGACACATTGGTGATTTAGAGTGAGAATGGGTCCCCACTATGCTCCACTTTACTCAGTCTAATTAAGATAAGATGTCACTAATGCTAAGCAAAGATCTAAGGCCATATCTGGGTCATAGCAGATTCACCCTTGACCTAACCGATCACTGTTGCTTACCCAACTGTGAAAGTGATAGTGAGAATGTTATTCAAATTATGAATCAATATTTTTCAAAGCTTAGTTGGAAATTAAGCGCAAATTTGAACTTATGCCAAAAACGTAAAACAAAGCTTCTTTCTGAATGGTTAATGCCAACTTCTTGTTATCATTTCAGTGTTAATGACATGATTGTTACATGACTTGTCATGTCTTCTGGGCCGAGATTTTCGAAGCTCTCTTAGCACTAAGATCGTTGTAAGTTAATGGCAATGTATGGCACTTGATCTTTGTGTTTCGCTGATGAGAAACTTAAATCTGATTTCAATGGGATTGTTACTTACTTAGTCGTGGTATTGATGGGATTGTATTTTCTAAATGTTCCACTTTAAATGAATGTTTAGAATATATATCATATTCATATATGTTATGTTATAGTTTCAGATGTGTCTTCAATAGAATCATCAAAATACTACGATACATGATGAGCCAATGAAGACTTGTTTGTGGCAAGTTGACTCCTCTCATTAAGATAATGAGCGTGACAGATGGGAACGGACCATCTGCCAGGAAACTTGAGGAGCACTTGAAGCAAGAAGAAGCAGACATGACTAAGGTGTCACTCCGAAGTCGAAAGATTAGTACAAGTGATGATTTAGAGAAGCAGGGACTGCTTAACGTCCGAGCTTTCCTCTTCCTGGTTCTGTGGTATTTCTTCAGCTTTTGTACTTTGTTCTTAAACAAATACATTCTGTCCACACTCAAGGGAGACCCAACGTTGTTAGGTGAGTTCTGATTAGTTGTCACAGATGTATTGGGTAAAGAACATATATGAAGTTTTTGTGATTATCTTTATGGTTTAAATTGAAATCTACACTGACTTTCATTCACAACAAATGTTTTCCTTCGTTATTCAATGACAAAACGGCCTACTGTAATACTAGAAATTGTGTAAAAAAGGAAAGGGGCATGGTGGGTGAGCTGTCTAAGGCGCCAGGCTAGTGATCCAGCGAGACTGAGGTGTAGGGATCGAGCCCACCCCGTGACCAGGTGTAAAAACCTTGGAGTCAACTTTGTGTGCAGACTCTATCAGTGTTGTCACAACCCCTAGTGTACAGTACACAACCCTGTGCACTTACAAGAACCCACGAATCCGGTGGTATATGACCAGATGATGGCCACATGAATACGTGCAAACACCTAAATGCGGGTACAGCAACAAGCAGTGAACTTGGACAAAGTACTGTGACTATGTGTCCCAGTCCACCTAGCTGTGAATAGGTACCTCTTTAGGATGAGAAAGCCACAATAAGTCGGTTTGCCAAGTGGCTGCAAGAGTTGTATACTCCCCAGGGAGTTGAGATTGATAATGCGATGTGCCGTTGAGATTGACATCCAATGATAGAGGGAATATACCAGCGCCTTAAGCATGCACTAGTTGTGTGGATATGTGTGCTATATAAATATCCTGCAATCAATAATAATGAAATAAAATCCCTGACTAAGCAACCTAATTTTGAGATTGCTGTTACCAGAACCACATATATATGTTAAGGAACTTATGATGTAGAAAATAGGATTGACATGCACAATTAGTGTCACTCACTGTCAAACACTTAAACTCCCAATATATCGCAATACGTATCGCAATACGAGTACCTGAATTGCATTATATTGCAATACGATATATTTGCCAATACACAGCCCTAACGATTTACATGAACAACAACAGGTAGTTGATAAACAAGTAGCACATACCTGGATGAGGCCAGATAGGGAGTAAGAAGACAAACAGCACAAGCTTTAAAACCAACAAACAGGAGGGAATAGATTGTAAAAACAAACTGATTGGGTGGTCATTGAATAGTTGAATCTCCCAATTGACAGCCGGAGAGCGGAAAGTCGCGGGTTTGATCCCCGACCTCGTCATTCCAAAAAGACGTTAAAATAGCGTACTTGGTGGTCCCTGCCTGGCACTCAGCATTAATGGGTACAACAAGGACTGGTCAGCTCGGAGTCAGTATAATGTGTCTGAGTGGGCTATTTATGCTTCACTGCGGCATGGTATCTCAGTGGGCTAGCACTATAAAACCAGCTTCAGTCTGGGCTAGTACAAGCAGCCGCACATACACATACACACGCATGCATGTCGTCATATGAGCGAAATATTCTCAAGCACGACGTTAAACCCAATTTCACCTCACCTCACCTCACCCATTTGACAGACACTGAACTAGAAGGTTAATTAGGGTAGCACCTACGGGTATAATGGAACAGTCCACTGTGTAGTGAGAAGAGCAGGGTGAGCCTGAAACAGGTTCGTTACTGAGAAGTTTGATTGTGGGTAAATAGAACTTTGTTGTGATTAAATGATAAATGATTTCTCTTCGCAAAATTGATTTCACTATCAATTACTATCGAATATAAAAAACAGGTTTGTCACTGAGAGGTTGGATTGTGTTTATTGATAGAAAAGCCCACACCCAATAATAGCATATGTACAACAGAAGTTAACTGAGAAAACGTTTTGTTGGAGATATATAGATATGTACATATTTTAAAACATTCTGACTTGCAGTAAATGAGACACCTGCATTGCCAAGTAAGATACGATTAATACCAATCAGTGTAATAATTTTAACAATACTTTTTAAAGATTGTAACAGTTTATGTCTTTGAGTAGTATACAATGGTCATTCAAGGAAGTAATGAAAAACATTCTCACATCCATGGCCACAATGACATGATTCGTCATTTTTTAAATATTTATTCTAAATAAATCGTAATTAAGTACACTCGTCAATGTCGTCATATATCTTAATATTGTGTGCAACAGATATACCTTCTTTATTCCATATGAATAATATTTAGGTTCACATTTGTTTTTCACGTGGATATAAGATTTAAATCTTACAACAGTGTCGCAATTTCTAATAGCTAAGTTACTGTTTTTAATATGATAATGCCGACTCCCGTTAGACTAGAAGGTTAAACCAAAATGTTTATGAAAATATACTGTTTTTTTATTGCAGTAATCAGAGCTCCAGATAAGATTTAGCTCATGTGGGTACTGTACCCACAGTATTTTGTTGGAGTGGGTATTATGAATGTTGAGTGGGTATTTCATTTTTCGTTACCCACTGATTTCAAATATGTGCATATTTCAGTCATTTTACTCACCTAAGTATTATGTCATTGAGTAGGTTTACTAAGCAGGGATGTCCTGCCTTATGTCATACTTAATCAAAACCAACTTAAATATAATGGAAATGATTTCATAAAAAAATCACTCATCCTATACTGACAGTACAACACTTGTCCTATACTAACAGTACAACTTGACAGCAATCGATGTCTTTTTCATTACGCAAGCGATTTTTATAAATATATTCCGTAAGCATTTGTTTTAAACTTTTTGCATATCGAACATTTTAAATGCGTAATTGGTACGCAACAATTATTTTTCAATGCGTAATTGGAAATTTTCTATGCGTATTTTACCCGGATACGCAGCTTATCTGGGCCTCTGAGTAATAAAACTTCAAATTACTGTCTTCTCGTCCATCTTTCAATATAAATAATATAGCTTCAGTTTGTTCCTGTGTTTTTATTTGGACTATTCCATTATGATGTGTAGGTAACAGGTAGTAGCTAATCTGTTCACTGAACCGTAAATGTTGTTGGTTTTTTTTGCATCTGCGTAATGGGAGGACTCCGTCTATAAAGGCTGAACCCGGGTAGACCTTAGCAGTCTCACACACTATGAACCACATTATTTTCACTATTAGCTAGCCCTCCCTGCAATACTTAACCCTAAAGCAAGTCTAGATGTCCCCAGATTCAGGATCTCCCATCTCAATGGGGCTCCTTTTCAGTTTAAATGGGTTTATTTGTTACTATCAAACTTATATATATTCAGAGACTAAGTCACAGTGTTAGTCTGGGGTAAAGCTTGTGTCTGGAGCTTCAGTTATAGAGGGATGGGTTCAAGGTGTTGCTGTGAAGAGCTAGTCGTACAGGTCAGGGAGAGGTACTTCTGTTTATTCATGCATCTCATCTGCATGGCTATCAGAAGCTCTAACTGTTTATATAAACATGCTTAGTTTACATAAGTGGGCATACGTCTCCACACTCACTTAGAACTACCTGGTTTGGGCTGCTTGTAGAAATGTTTCAGTAAATGTATGCACCTATAACATTGTGACACAGAACAAATATTTCAACGGCTGATAAACTGAAATGGTCTTTGAAGACAGAAGACACATTGTTAACTTGTTAACTGATCATTTAGTCTCTTCTTCTAAATTGGACCCTTGAATATCCCGGCTAGAATAGATCTTCAGTAACCCATGCTTGTTGTAAGGGGCAACTAACGGGATCGGGTACACAGACTCGCTGACTTGGTTGACACATGTCATCGGTTCCCAATTGCGTAGATCGAAGCTCATGATATTGATCACTGGATTGTCTGGTCAAGGCACACTCATTTACAGACCACCGCCATATAGCTGCAGAGATGCCAACCGATACGATTTTATCGTATTCGTTATGAAAATAACAACACAAACTACTGCGACTACGAAAGCAGTAAAAATATACGAATTTTTAAAAATAGTACATTAAATAAAATTATCAAATAGCATGTGTAAATTTCAATCACAATAAATTTCAATCACATTTTATTCAGTATCAAGCTATATATGGAGACTTACTACTGATTTTGCTGAGTACAATGTCAATAACAAGGTCTTAGAAAGTATATTTACATATTTTATTTAATATGAAAATACTTTGGAAAAGTTAATACTAATTTTGGGCAAAAAATGCTAATTTTTACATCAGTTTTTGGCTAAAATACGTATTAGGCTAAACTAGGGTTGGTATCTCTGTAGCTGGAATATTGGTGAGTGTGATGTGAATCAGCTAAACTAGGGTTGGTATCTCTGTAGCTGGAATATTGGTGAGTGTGATGTGAATCAGCTAAACTAGGGTTGGTATCTCTGTAGCTGGAATATTGGTGAGTGTGATGTGAATCAGCTAAACTAGGGTTGGTATCTCTGTAGCTGGAATATTGGTGAGTGTGATGTGAATCAGCTAAACTAGGGTTGGTATCTCTGTAGCTGGAATATTGGTGAGTGTGATGTGAATCAGCTAAACTAGGGTTGGTATCTCTGTAGCTGGAATATTGGTGAGTGTGATGTGAATCAGCAACCCACTAACCAGACTGGATTATTTGTCAACCTATGTCATGCAGCTTGAACACTGCTGAGTGAGGCATTAAGAAACAAATAAACCACCAAATGACGTTAAACAAAAAAACAGATGAGAGCTTGCAAAATGAGGATGAGATGGTCACAACCTGTGACCCTGTGGATCAGTGGAGGTTGCTGCTGATGCTGTCAAGCGCTGGTCATGATGAAGTCCTGAGTACTGTCTTGAGCTGCCTTGTATATTACTATATTTTGTACATTACAACATTGACGTCCTTCCTGTTTCAGGTGCCATGCAGATGGTGATGACGACAATGTTTGGGTTTATACAGATGTACCTCCCTTTGGGTATGTACAAGCCTGTACAGAGAGAGGGCAAGCCACCCAACTTCTGGAGGAACATGATTCTGGTGGGGACCATGAGGTGAGAGGACAAGGAACACACCTGTTTTGTTAGGACAAGTCCGAATTTTAAGCATGAATTACCAATGTTGCCAAACTTTGTGAAGAAATTAATGGTTCACTAGCTATTTCAGAAATAACAGCATATCACATGATCTCCCATCACGAAGAGCAGGACCCAATATTAACCATACTCTGTGTCAACTAGAGGGGCGGTGGGGTAGCCTAGTGGTTAAAGAGTTTGCTCGTCACGCCGAAAACACCACGTGGGTACAATGTATGAAGCCCATTTCTGGTGTCCCCTGCCGTAATGTTACGGGAATAGTTCTTAAAGCGGCAAAAAACTCACTAAAAATTAACAAAGTCAGTTCATCTATCATTTAGTGTCACTATTTCACACCATGGGCCAACCTTATACTGATAGTTATGAATTTATGCCTTGGCAGACAGCCATCCTTTTCAGCCATCGGTGAACTGAAGGCAAAACTTTGATTTGTCAGTAGACATGATGCAGTGGTATTTGCAGACAGCCCATCCCTGGTGTGACCTTGCTCTCCCCAATCTTCACTGCCTACAGTAGCTGTTGTTACACCTTTCACAGTACGCCTGGTTTCAAAGGGGTTGCTTTCACCTGGTGTTGATGGTGGATGTTAATAATCACCTCCCTGTTATTGTCGAGAATTCTATCTTGATAACAGAAGTACATTTTATTCTAGTGGGATTTACGTTATAGTGATGAGATGTTCTTGTCTAGGTGTTGTTCTTTTAGGCCCGTACACCTACATCTCCTTGACGTCCACTCGATTGACGGTATTACAGTCGAAAATTAGGTTTTTTGTTTTTTCAAATGTTGGGCAACTTTAAATATTGAAATCCACCCCCACGTTCTGTTCGCACAATTTGCCGTTTTGTAAGTTCATTGAGATACTGCCTAGGAGGTATTTTCAAGTGTGTGATTAGCAAAGTTCCGTTAGTGATTTGGAATCCAGTACAGGTGCTCACACTGTAGTCCGTGTGTTCATGTGTTACCATTATGTGTCTTGTGGTGTTCAGCTTACATCAGCTGTTATGGACAATCTGTTCAACATGTTGCTCATGTCAAACAACAAGGTCAGTGTCAAGGCCAGGAGATAAGGTGTACTGACTCTTTATGTTTTCAAACACCTCCTTTGAGCCTGTATGGTCTTGTACCTTTGAAATTGGACACGGCGCTGGTATAAAAGTTGATTGTTATATAAATAGATACCATTGACCAAGGTTGTTAATGCATGCATATTGATACCTGTTCAAGGGGATATGCAATTTGCGGTCATAGGGATATGCAGTGTTTTTTTTGTCTGCACATAATACTTGAAATACTGTATTACTAAACACTGCTTGGCCTTGAGGTGGCAGCACACTATACTCAAGAAACAGGTAGAAGCAAGAAATAACAATATTGAATTAAGCAACTAGGTCATGAAGTGCATAAACAGGCAGATTGTGTATTGTCCCTTTGAGCATGTTGAGAGCGTGTCTGTCTCCACTTTCAGGGCTTTCATGCTTGTATAAGAAATGCACTTTAGCAGCAGAGGACAGGAACGGTCTCCTGTTATGTGTACAAGTGACATAAGGGTCACTTATTCACGTGACTGCCTGTCAGTAGTCAATAGATTTCAGAGTTTTGCACAAAAACAGTTGGTCTCATTCAGTGGTGCAAAACATCCACTAGAGGTGGGTCACTCCTAACTGAAATATCATAAATATGCACAATCTTTGTAAAATGCAATGTGGGTTTGTTTGTGTTGATGTAAGGAGTTTACTAGTGAAAACTTCTGTCGCATTAAACTCACAGTCAGTGATAATACTGATATTAAAACACAAGTTTGATAAGTGAAGAAATAATAAATCCTGAACAACACTTCTCACTCAGTTATCCCATGTGTTTCAGATTTTCCACAGTTGTGTTAGGTCTGGTGGCTCTCAAGTTTGTCGCGGTTTCCTTCACGGGAAACTGTGAAGAGTTCGGCACCCTTGTTCACAGTGCTTATGTCCAGAGTACTGATCGGAGAGTACACCGGCTTTTATACCTTCCTGTCACTCATCCCCATCATGTTTGGGCTCGCCTTGTGTTCCGCATACGAACTCAGTTTTAATGTACAGGGCTTTGTGGCAGCCCTGGCCACCAACTTAACAGAGTGGTAAGTGCCAACAGTGGATGCTAATCTGTTATGGTTAATCTGGACCCCTGGCTCTACCAGACCACATTTACACAACACAACATTGTTACATCATCCCCAGCGTTATGCTTGACACCAGAATATCATTATGTCATGTTACTTTTGTTTGTATTTCAACAAGTAAAGAATAAAAGGCCTCGTACAGACAAGGTTTGAGGTTGGAACTTCGATATAGGGAGGCTGGTGGGGTATGTTTATAGTGAACAACTAGTAATCAGCAGATCAAAATGTATGTACAGCTGATAATATGTTAATATGATGTACTTTTGACCACGAACTGTCATGTCCCAGATGCAGTGGGACTGTGGGGTAAGGCTATACACAATACATTTAATTTCACAGTTAACCTAAACATTTTGACATTTGAATGTTTTCCGCAAACAAAGTCATTTTGGAGCACTATTAGTTTGGGGATATTTTCAGAAACTGTTCATTAACAATATCATCTAGTGACCCCTCCTCCTAACCCCACATACACGGGGCGGTGGGGTCGCCGAGTGGTTAAGGGTTCGCTTGTCACGCCGAAGACCTGGGTTTGATTCTCCACATGGGTAAAATGTGTGAAACCCAATTATCGAGTCCCCCTCCATGATTGCTGGAATATTTCTAAATAGGTGTGAAACTAAATTCTCTCACTAACCTTCACACCTGAAGTATTGGAGTAGCTATGACATCTCTTGCTGTCGTTTTGTCAAATATTCAGACATTCCTGAAAGCAAATCATGTGAAACTAAATTAATGAAAATAAATCGTCATCTTGTTCATTACCGAATGTCTAAATGAAAGTTTACCTCTGGCGTGACAGCTGTATTGATTTATAATCAGTGTATTTTGTGACAGCCTCTAACTAGGTGATGAAACTGTCCCCAGCTGTGCCTTTATGTGTGTGGGTTGATCTTAATGTATTGAACACATCTGGCTATTGTCTTTTCCCTCCAGATCCTTGCAGGCTTCACATGCCCCTTGTAGCCATTAGTTTCAAGGTTTATTTATACTCATTATCATCAATAAACACATGTACATGCCTTTCTGACATAACATTAAGAAATCATTGGATCAATATTGTGTGAAAACTAAACATATTTAGATTGGTTGTGTCTATTGATTCTTTACAGTGACAGATGTTATAGATTGATGTGCCTCCTTTATACACCTGGGAAGTATGACAGGATGGTGTACAATGATAGTCAATCAGTAGGGTGTAGGTGGAAATAGCTTGTGTACCGGATTGTTTAAAGATTTATAAGTAGACTTTGATTAAACATTGTGTACCTGTTCTTTCTGGTGGGTCTCGATTGTTCCAAAGGCGTCACATTATGTAACATGGTTGAAATTTCACAAAAATCTGTACATTTTCCAATCACATATAACTGAATCTCTGTAATTAACTGAAAACTTTTCACATGCCCTTGTTGGGTCAAATGTCAAGGTCAAGGACATATCCTGGCCTGGCCTGTCCTGTCTTCATAGAATTATTGATGTATTTGGATATGAACCGCAGTTCTTCTCTGTGTGATTGTTGTTACATTGTTTGTTTCTCTGTTTCAGTTTACAGAATGTATATTCAAAGCTTCTCATAAGTGGTGAAAAATATAGATATACGTAAGTATGAAGTTGGAATGTTAGACAGGCCAGTCATGACAAAGTGTAAACATTTATTGTGTGAGATTTGATTCTTGCAATATGGAAATGTGGAAGCTCATGAACATTTCTCTCTGCTAGGGTTGATCTAGAACATGAAAGCAGATACATTATGTTTTAAGATCCTTTTGAAAGGAAAAGACATGAATGTCAATATTTCTTGTATCTGGATGTCTGAAGATAATTTATCATATATGCCACCTCTATAACCCATTTGAAGATAACATTCTGCAGTGGAAACAGATGTTAAAGGATATGAATATCCTGCCAGGATGTAGTATCTGTAGTTAGTTGAGACTGTTCTCTGTTTCAGGCCTGCGGAGCTCCAGTTCTACACGAGCATAGCTTCAGTGGTGGTTCAGATCCCAGCATGCTTCGTGATGATGGATCTCCCCGCAGTACAGAAGTCCCTGGACTACACGTTATTATCTACACTTGTTCTAAATGGCATATTCTTCCATTTTCAAAGCATCACAGCATACGTCCTTATGGGCTACATTTCACCTGTAACACATAGGTAAGTCCTTGGTTGACACGTCATCGTATCCCAATTGCGTAGATCAATGCCCATGCTGTTGATCACTGGATTGTTTGGTCCAGATTATTTACATTTCACCTGTAACACATAGGTAAGACCTGGAGCTAGGTTAGCCATCTCCCTTCCTTTGCAGTGTTTAAATATTTCCAGTTCTAACCTGGATCTTCATTGTGTGCAAATTGATCTAAAAGTTATACATCTTAAACCTTTATATTCAGTTTCAGGGGATGAGTTTCAGTGTCATTGCCATGTTTTGTAAAAGCAACTGTTTCATTTCAGCGTGGCGAATACAGTAAAGAGAGCATTCCTGATCTGGTTATCTGTGATAACATTTGGAAACCCAGTGACAATTCTCAGTGGTGTAGGGACCGTCACAGTTACTGTGGGGGTGTTGTTTTACACCAAAGCCAAAGAGTATGACTCCAACAGACGAGAACACATTGCTCAGTATTCACGGACACCTGAACCAGTGACCAAGGAAGTTTGATGATAGTGACTCTCTAGACTCCATGCCTCATTCATTCTACATCCGTCACCATGGATACATTGTTTATGGGGATACCTGTTGTGTTGTTTCATGCTTGGCAGACTGAAGGTTTCCAAACCGGGATCAAAACATTGGGAAACGTTGCTGACTATAACTTACTTATGGCAAGCACCGAGTGTTAAACGTCCTGTATTGTAGTGTTTTACAGCCATATGATATTTGCCTCATTGTGGGTGATCTGATACAGCAAAGATAAGTGGAATTAACTGATGCCATAAAACACATATCAAGACTTTCCAAATAATTTAGTGTAGCTTTGAGAAATATGCCAAATGATCTGTTTTGGTTCATGCCTTTAGATTAACACTGGTTTTGTAAAGATAATTTGTCAGTGTTTATATATATTAAGCAGCCTTTCCTGTCAGTCATTGGAACTGAAGTGTTCAAAAAACCCAAAGAACGCAACGATATGATTGAAATGTTTACCAAATGATCAGGAGCCAAATGTGTACTGAGTTGTTCTTGTTGGTCTTGCTATAACATTCATCAATGAAATGCAAGTCCACATACACTTTTATATATGAAATATGTGTTTTAGGTAGACGATGTGGGATGTGTTTTATGAATGATCATGGTATTTATTGCAGTAATCTCTCCATGGGCTTGAATTATGTGTCTCATTAAATCTTGGCATCTCCTATTGCCATGTAAATATCAAATGATTGCTTTTAGCATTATCTGCTTTAGTTTAACAAATGCATTTCGTTTCTTGTATTGGATTATCATGTGTAAATAGATGAAGCTGCGGGGTAGCTGTTGGTCAGTACTGTGGTCTGTATAGCCATGACACTTCTCAGGCTTGCTTCACAATATTCAGTCAACTTTGTGTTATACACGCTTCAGAAACATTTGTTTGTTATGGATAAGTAGTAATGGAATATGTCAGTAGATTGATCTTTTAGAAAGCGTTATTTTCATTTCTTGTGTAATTGAAGGCAGCTTTAAATAGGACCATTGCTGTGGGTGGGTGAAGGTGATGACCTTTACATAGGACCATGGCAATGGGTGGGTGAAGGTGATGACCTTTACATAGGACCATGGCGATGGGTGGGTGAAGGTGATGACCTTCACATAGGACCACAGCGGTGGGTGGGTGAAGGTGATGACCTTTATATAGGACCATGGCGGAGGGTGAAGGTGATGACCTTTACATAGGACCATGGCGGAGGGTGAAGGTGATGACCTTTACATAGGACCATGGCTGTGGGTGGGTGAAGGAGATGACCTTTACATAGGACCATGGCGGAGGGTGAAGGTGATGACCTTTACATAGGACCATGGCGGTGGGTGAAGGTGATGACCTTTACATAGGACCATGGCTGTGGGTGAAGGTGATGACCTTTACATAGAACCATGGCGGTGGGTGAAGGTGATGACCTTTACATAGAGCCGTGGGTGGGTGAAGGTGATAACCTTTACATAGGACCATGGCTGTGGGTGAAGGTGATGACCTTTACATAGGACCATGGCTGTGGGTGAAGGTGATGACCTTTACATAGGACCATGGCGGTGGGTGAAGGTGATGACCTTTACATAGGACCATGGCGGTGGGTGAAGGTGAAACCGATGAGCTTTACATTGGAATTTGGCTGTGAGGGGGTGCACTTGCTTGTGGGTAAAACAGGTCCGAGACCTGCATAACTTTAGGCTTTCTTCCCACAATAAGCTAATATGCGAAGATATTCCTGAAATTTTGTTAAAGAAGCATGAAACCTAACTCACTCACTCACCCTCAGCCATACTATTGATAAAATGGGTTTGTTCTGGACCTTGGTTTGTCAGCACTGTATGTGTTTCACTAACAAAGCTTACACTTCACAAACTCCATGCCTACGTCTGATGTCGATCACTCCGTCAGATCTGTCTAAACTACCTCGGTTGTGGTGTGTTCAAGTGTGTATGATGCACTGTGCCCACCCTGTAACATTTAGGGGAACTGTTTGATGGTCATTCTAGAAGCTTTAGGAATAACAACATACACCATTAGGAATAACAACTTCTGATTCATTGCATATAGCAATGTTTCAACTTTATGTAGGGCGGTAAATCAAATGTTTGTTAAATGCAGTAAGACACAAGTTGTTATCCATCAAGTGTTGTTTATTTTTAATCTGCTTAACATTGTCTGCCACAAAAAACACATTGCTTTTGTAAAAGAACAATTTAGACTCATGGTTTTAATAAGAAATCTAGTTTTGTTACTGTAGTTGAAATCTACTCTCTGCACAAAATATCAAATGGTTTGTACTCTGAAGTTACCTATGAAAATAAGTTAACTTATAAGCTTTTACTCTGATGAATATGAATGGCAGAGACAATGTGACTGAATCATTGTGTACAAAAGTGAATCATTTAATTGATTTAAGGTGCTTTGCTTTCTCTAAGTCTCTGATGGGGAGACGTGTGTGCAATAGTGGAGAAGGGCTCAAGCAAGCTGAGTTTCCATGCAGGGTTATTTGTGTAATGGGTTTACGCCTGGTGCGGCACAGGGAACCATGGCCATCTGTAGGGACATCGGTTTGCTTCATAGGTTTTTGATTTTCTTTGTTGTGCCATATTCATTTTGTTTGTAGAAATGCAGAATCATGAAATATTGAATGAGCATTGTTTTGTATTGTGACCTGAAACAGATATGTTGTACATAAAGCAAAATTAATAGAATGCCTTCATATATTTTTAATAAAAAGTCATGTATTTTCCATTTGACCTCAATGAGTTAGGAAATGTGCATTGATTTTTTTTAAACTAATTAATTCAAAATCGAATTTAAAGCTATTGTGTACACCCATGCTAATTGTTCCCTGTATACTTCATTGTGATGGGTCCAGTGGAGGTTCCAGTTTCAGTAACATCGTTCATTATGTGTGGATGTTCTTATGTTACAGACACAGTATTTCTCAAAAATACCATTCCAGTAACCCCTGCTGTGGTATTGCTGGAATATTGCTAAAAGCCATGTAAATCCATACTCTAAAATATCAGGGCAGCTCTCTACTTGTCAAATACATATTTTGTCAGTGACCTCAAACACTTGCATTTGCTGAACTTTACAAGAACCAATAACACACCAGGCCAATTAACAAGGCACATGACCTGTTTCTGCAAGCATGGAAGTAGACCATCTATGACAGTGCTTCCACTTCCAGACAGCTGATTCTCCAAGCCTGTATATGTAAACATTGTAGACAGGGATAAACAGCAGACAATTATTGGATACTACCAGTAATTTATACTGGTAATTAATTGAAAAAATCAGTTGCAGAATCTAATTGATGAGATTATGCTGAAAGACATTAAACCATTTTAAATCACAAATTGATAAATTCTAAGTTTTGATAATAAATTTCAGAGATCATTTAAGATGACCTGTGGGTTACCCCAAACTATCATTATTGATAAGGTCACAATACTGGTTGTATAGAACTGAGTGGCCATAAAAAAGAAAAGCTTATTCTGAAGAGAATTATTTCAAAGGATAACAAATCATACAGGAAATAGATTGATTTAATGATTTGGATCGATGAAATCCACAGTGCATGAAGCAAGCACTGTTCCTGACCATTCGTATGTACAGCTGGACGGACATGGTTATGATTCCTGGGTGTATGGGGTTCCACAGACAATGATGTAGGCTGGGTTGTGTCAGTGCTGGAGAGGTGACTGTCGAAGCCCATGGAGGTGTCGGGGACAGCTGGCAGAAATAAGTAGCTGGCTCCCGATCCACAAAGTGTTCATAACTTTACAACCTATCGTAACTCTGTACTATATCATTGGCTTACGATTGACGTAGTGCTATGAACACTTTGTGGACAGGGTGCCTGGAGCTAGCCCTGGCTTGTACAGAAACGTGTAACATGTACAAAGAAACATCAGTCTAAAGCCTCACTTGTCCCCTAAGTACTGTAGGTAATGAATAAATATAATTAAATGTACATTATCATGTTTGCACAATTTGTTAATCTGATGATTACATGGGTACTGTACATGTGGATTAGTATAAGGTCGCTTAAAGCATGAAACTGAATGAGCCAATATTCAACAACGTAAGTTGAGGGGACAGTCACATGGGGAGCAAGGGAGGTAACTGAGTATGAGCTGTTCTGGGAGATCATGCACACCAGACTGACCCAACACAGAGCTTGGCAGACCATCGATCGAAGCTGTGTCTGCTGTGTAGGTTCTGTAAGTCGTGAACAGATCACATGGTTTTCAAGGACCCTTTCCAGTGTTTGTCAGAATGTGACTTTGTATTGTAATTGTATGTACAACACAGGACAACAGGTTATTGTTTTTGTATATATATACATATGTGTGTATATTGTGGGATGTCATGCCAAATGATGAGAGTTATGTAAAGAAGAATAGAGTATTAAACATTTTATTTATTTTCTTTTGTTGTTGTGGTCAACTGGATGCAGGTGTGGGCCAAATACTAGAGGATGTTCTATATCATCAGTATTATTCTGACTCTACAACACTGATCTCAGGACACTATGGATTCATGCAGGCTTGGATTCAGACCACACTAGAATCATCACTGTCTGTTGGGATGAAGCCAAATATTAAGCAGTATCTGGTTTCATGAACTCAAACTTCAAGTATCATTCTGTTCACTGGCTTGACAAGTTGTACAAAAGGGAACATATAGACCATGTTATATAGGTAAGTTAATACTTGCCAAGTGGTGTGCAGATATCCACTCCACACAACTACAAAGTCATGTATTGAATGTTGGCGAGATGATTCATCAATGCCTGCATATAGACATCAGTGTTATTGATTGCTATGTGATACCTATGACAGAAAATACATCAGTGGGGCATCTCATGTTGCATATCTGTTGAGGTACAGCTGCATGATGTGATGACAGAGGGAGTTGGTGATAAAGAGGTGACGTGAAATGGGGTTTAGTGTAGCACTTAGGAATATTTCGCTCATGTGACGACGTGCATGCGTATGTTTGTGTGGCTGCTTGTACTAGCCCAGATTTAAGCTAGTTTTATAGTGAGATACCATGCCACAGTTAAGCATGAATACCCCACTCAGACACATTATACTGACTCCGAGCCGACCAGTCCTTGTTCCCGTTAATGCCGAGCGTCAGGCAGGAACCATCCTCGATAATCTCCAGGGTATACGTTACGATCACTCTCCACTATACCCTGGATGCATCCACGGCTTGGCCCGATAATTATATTACCTCCCTTTGCTGGCTCCAACATTCTCACAGTAGCCAATCAGTTAAGCCGTCGTTACATCCAAGCTTGCCAGTGTCAACAAAGATAGCGGTCGCAGTCGCGAAGGTTTGATCGCAGTGCCACTCAGATTTTTGGGGAAATTACAGACAAATTGACAGATCTGAAACTTTAAAAAAAGATATGAAAGAACTCCTTCTATGTCTTTCAGAGTACCTCTGCATCAATTGTGTTGCGAAGATTAAACGGTTAGATAATTTAAGAAGCAAAGGTGAGTTGTGATTGGTTTGCTCAACTTCCCAGCGTAGACACCTGATAGGATAAAAAGCCAGCAAAGGGAGGTAATATCATCATTGGGCCAAGCCGTGGATGCATCCAGGGTATAGTGGAGGAGTGATTGTAACGTATACTCTGGAGATTATCGAGGATGGGCAGGGACCAACAAGTACCACATTTTAACGTCTTTTGGTATCACGCGGTCGGGGATCGAATCCGCGAGCTTCCGCTCTCCAGGCGGACGCTCTAACCACTACACCACGGAGGCAGTCTGGTAATGAAGAAGTATTTATCTGTGTCCTGAAACAATAGGGATGAATTTTCATATTGAGATGTATTGCGATGCAAAAGCATATATTGCGATATGTACTGCAATATATTGCAGTTAGTTTTTTTAAACAAATAAACTACTTATAATCGAGTTAATGCTTGATCTATAAAAGAAAAACACTATGCTTGATTAAGCTTCAATAAAAACTTTTAATCATGACAAAATAAAAATGTAAATAATATTTGGTGCAAATGATACAAGGAAATCAACAATTTAAAAATGGAAATATCCGAAGATTTCGAGTGTTACAAAGTTTTCCAAATGCATGTTAAACTACCGTTTTTTTGATCAGCGTATCACAATACGTATCGTTTTCATGTCTGAAACAGTAAATACTGGTAAACCGGTTATATGGCGCAGCCCTATGAAACAACAATCTTGATTGTGCGAAACCAAGCTAGAATTCATTTCTCCTAAATAAGCGATTGTTTTTTTATTTAACCATCAAATTAGAACTTCAGTGTAAATCATATGTCCAAAACTCAATGTTCTTAATTACAGAAACACAAGTGATGATATTAGTGATGATATATTCATGCTTCAATCTTATTTATATGCTCATATCTTTTCATTGGATGTACATCAATATCAACCATGCATTCCTTTGTAAAAGGATATACCAGTTTAGAACAGCTGTTGTGAGCTTGTAGAGATAAAAATGAATCTTTAACCCCAAGGAATGAAACATGCATCATTCTATGTCAAAACCCTTACCCCCAATTCCTACCATATACATATGGTAAGTTAAGCTTGCTGTGGCTTAGGAGTGGTTGTCATAGATTCCTTCCACAGATGAAACCAACTTCCATGAGTCACCATGCTCCCACCCAGATAAACACAACAACACAGATACACAAGAAAAATATTTATTCTGTCCTTTGTAAGCTGCACCAGTATATATTTTGATTGACAGTCCAGGTGGTTATATACAGTATTTACATTATAATACAATCCTGTATCAAGTGGTGTCATGTGCCAAGACAATTGAGAAAACTATTGGTGACTATTCATACCTCACATTTCTTGTCCTTCAACAAAAGGATGTTTAAATATGGATTCTAGTATCAAGCTAAACATTAAACTTCAGCATGTTTCCAGCTACCCTGCTTGTAAGCTGCCATTTCAACAAAATACCAAATTGTGACCATTCTGTTTAATTACGTAAGGAATAACTTACCAAATGTGAGGTCCTTTTAGCTTGAAGACCCTACCCTCCATACAATTCGAACAGTGTACAACCATTTATTTCTATGTCTACAGTGAAAGGTTACCAAACTTTTGTTTAGAAGGAGGGAATACATTTGTTCTGGTGACTTGGTCCAGGAAACTGCAGATCATCTGGCAGACTTTACATTGAAACAACCCCCGAGCCCGACAAGTGATGGACAGTTCTGTTCACTTGATTACACTGTCTTCTACATAATATCAGGTACATTGTGAAACACTAATTGCAATCAATACAAGCCCATATCACTGACAATAAGTACCCTGTTCAATAGAAAAGTTTACACATAAATTAAATTCTCAGCTATTTGGGGAGAATCTAACCCATTTTGTCCTGGAAATGTTTGCATTCGGATTTCAGTTTCATAGTACTGGGTACCAAAAGAAACGTTACTAAGCTTAAGCATCCTTGACCTTGCCTTGACAGTCAATGACTGTATTGGCTTTGAGCACTTGGTTTTTCCAATGTTTCATCAACTTTAAGGTTTTGTTACCCACGACAATCTCTTTACAACTGTAACACTAACTATTACCATGTTAAAGTTGAATCAAGGTCAAAATGAATACCATAACTATAAATGTAGAGCACAACAGGATAGGTCCCACTGGTCCTGGGACTCGTGGTGTATGTAACATGACTACAAGTAGTTTGGATGATAAACCTAATCCTTCCCTCCCAACAAGCTAGTCTGCCAATCTGACCCTGCATGCACAGGCTTGGAGCCTTGGTCTCACGTTTGTAAACAAAGCAACAACTCCTCCAAACTTTGCTGACACAAACAAACCCTGTATATTCTCATGCAGATTCTTAACACCCGCTGAAGTAGTAAACCTGAACAGGCAACAAAACTCATGCGCATGATGTTCCGAGATGTGGAATACGCCAACTGAAACGTCTTGTTGAAAATGAAGAACACTGTATTTTGTTTGGGTCCACTGCATTGTACTGACATAATTGCACATATTTCTTCCCCACTGGTACCTTAGTGAAACCATCAGACATCTTAGTGGGACCACCAGACATCTTAGTGAAACCACCCGACATCTTAGTGGGACCACAAATATATATATTCTCATTGTTATACTTCTGTTGAGGTTCACTAAGAAAATCATGGACGTAGACAATGTTGTTTTACGTATTCTTAACATTAATATATTGATATAAATAGCACAAAATTGGTAAAGTATAACAGCATACCCATGGGTGTTTCTGTGATCCAAAACTTGTAACTGAAACATGCCCCTCTCCAGTCCATCAACAAGTCATAAACATAACAGTTGTATATTGTGTTTTAAATTTGTTCAATAGGAACATGAAAGGCAACAGTAGCATTACGTCTTGTCTCAGAAGGATGGAATTATTCTGCTTTCACAAACATGTAAAAATTACTCATTTACCTAGAAAATATGTTTCTCAGTTCTAGTTTACTTCAACTGACAACTTTCAGTGAGTAATTCTTGAAGACAACATCTCAACAAAGCCTTATTCCAGCACACAAGTGCCGTGAGTTGGTCTCCACACCTGTTGTGTATTACCAGTATATACCCTTGTCATAAATTCAGTAAAACACAGCCTCAAGGCTTTGTAGCTCACCTGACAGTTCTATTTACACTTCAAACTTATTTGAGTATGTTCATGTTGTAACAGCTGAATCAAGGTAGACGAAAGTTTATGGGTTAGAACTTCTTTAGTATACAGCAATAGTGGCATTTTGTACAGCTTTAGCAGCTGAGTCAAAAGGGTATCATGACGTATTTTTAAAGTTTGTGGTACTGTATTCTAAAGGTAGGCCAGGATCTATACCAAAACATCACTATTACAGTTGAATAAATTAGTCTTTATCCATAAACTTTCTGAGTACTCTGTTATCTGTTAACTTCTCAGAAATGTCTATCGAACAGGTTGAATCAAGGTCCAAATTCTGAGAATTGTAAAAAAAGAAATATGTTAGGCCTTATTGCCAAGTAGATCTACACCTATGTTGAATTTAAATATGGCCCAGAATAGAAGGCTAATTGCAGCATTGAAAATACCTCCTTGCCCGACCGCCCGGGACAAGTTATTTTGAACACGGACTGCCAGATTCTCAAAGTCACCTGCCCGACGGTCGGGTTAAAATTTAGACATGTATATGAAGATATTCTGGATATTTCAGGATAATAAATTATTATTAATTCACTCGTCAAAAATAAAAGATGAATTCCAATTGGATGATAAACTTCATCGCTTGTCAAACCTAAATTATTTGCAGGCAGGTAAGTTTTGATCATTGCTGGCAAGTTTTATATCTAACCAGCCCTGTGGTCTGGCTGAAATTTTTGGGAGTTTCACACCCTGCTAATTGTTATACATTTATAAACATGTCTGCAAGACAAACATCAGATGTGGATAAGAAAAATGTATTCCAAAATATATCTTATGTCAAGATAAAAAACACACACTTGGTACATATCAAATTTTACGATATATATGGAAATAGCATTTTCAACATGGCATCCACAGCAGCCAGCTTTAAAATTTGGGACTTTTTGAAACAATATTGCTGGTATTGTTTATACAAAGTTTCAATTTCAAAGGCCTTGCAGGTTTAGCAGCTGAGTAATAAATGTACTAAAACTGAATGGAAGGACAACCAGGCAGATGACAAGGGACTGTGCGACATAGGCTCACTTGACTTCCATTAAGGGAGCTAAAGACTAGAAACAAACTGAGAAAAGAAACCAATAAGAACCCAACATTTCCAATATATGATACAAGATAAAGCATTTAGAAACTGCCACTTACAGCAGATGGCATTCTACACTGACATACACTGTGTGGGGTACATATTAGTGAATTCATGACCAGTTGTTTGGCTGGCAGCTTTACAACAAGGGCAAAACAATACGTTTTCTGCATTTAGATTCTGTGAGTATTATAAGTTTGGACATGACTTAAATAGATCTTCCTATTAGGTATCAATCAAAAACACCCAGCAACATTTTATGAAAAAAAACCATTACCCATTATTTTTTTCTACAAAACTGTTCAGTGGAAATATAGTTCTCTCTATAGAGTTGACCATTGTGAGCCGACCAAATCTATAATATAAACCACTTCAGCTCTAAAAGTAAATATTAGTTGCTTCAAAAGAGTAATACTATTTGAGTAAACATAAATGAGGAATAATGTTTGTGTAAGGCTAGATGAGAATAGATAAGGATATTTCATTATTGAGACAGGGTCTAAACATGTTGAGACAGGTCAGTTGATATGGGAGAGAGAGTGCTCTTAAGTCGATCATATGTTTCTGACCACTAAATCACCAAACACCCTTTAAGTGATGAGTCTTCATATTATAATCATTATAATGTTAAATATCTAAAACGGAATATTAAAAAATATATCAATTCTTCATTAAATACCTGCCACCCCCATCCCCCACCCCACCCACACAAATAGTTGTGATATATTCTTTGTTGCTATGTGATGTTTTAATGACCCCTTTTTATGTCATTCCTGCTCTTCCCATCTTCCCAGAGTCAATGACCAGTCCCTGAACATGGATGTAACTTACACTAGTCACAAGTACTTCAGTTCAGGGTAGTTGTAGAGATATAACTACTGTCACCCCCATTATAGTCGGTTTATAGGAAGAACATGTTAGTATGACCAACAAAATATACATACAATCACTATGTATCTAGGTTGAAAAAATGAATACATATAATTAAAAAACAGGTGCAGTAAAACAAAAGTGCATAAATACTCAAAACCTGAATGCATTGCAATAGTGAAGCAGTGTATGAAATAAGCCAAAAACCCAGCCGGACATCGGGGCTGGTAACTTCAAAAACTTACCGGCCCAGAAGAGATTTAACCAGTCCTTCTTAAATACTAAATAGACAGTGCCAGTGGACACGTTTTCTGAATATTTTTTTTCACCCGTCCATTGGGCTGGCTAGCTGTAAAATTAGACCGTCCGGCAGAAATCTAGCCCGTCTTGGGCGGTCAGACGAGCCTTATTTTATACACTGAGTGAAGATCTTCAAATTGTGGAAGACTGATTTGTGGAGTAAACCACATGGAGATGCAGTAACCATGGTAACTGAAGCATAATATCAATCAATAATATCATCGAATGATGGGCGAGCCAAGCTGTACCACAAATCCTATCCTGCTTTGACTCAGTATCACATGAGTTTGAGATTGTCCTTTGGCAAGATGTGTGCAAACACCCAGCTTTCTTCAACAACAGATGAGATACATGGACGTGAGAAAGTTTCCGTAAACTGTCATATTTCAGTGATGAAAACTTGTGGTGTCCCAACTTAAGTAAAACATCTTCTCTGTTACTGGATATACCAAATAATCAGACTGCCAAAACTGTCTAACACTGGACAAAATGAATTTTCATTGACACAATATTTCTGAGCTACTTCAGGAAGTTTGTGTGTTATACAAACAAAGTCAACAAACACACAAGCTGGGTAGTCTCTGTTATTTTAGTTTCCCTGATTGTTTTCCAGATAAATATATCTATATCTACAATCCTCTACAAAACATTATAAATATATAGTTTAAATTGAGCACTCCAGTTATTGCATTTGGCTGTTATAACAATCATGTCATCTTGTGCTGAGTATGTCAACACACGTCTCCAGTGGAGGAACCACAATGGTAACACCAGATCTTACAGCTGGTGAAAGAAGCTGAACAAAGAAACTGAACCAAGAATTATAGAACAAACATCAGAGATCTAAAAAATAAGTATATAGTCCCCAATATCTCCACAAGTACACTGAGTGAGGGTTTTTGAAGGTAAAGGTGGGTGAAGGTGATTCTCCACAGGTCTGGGGGAAGGTTATCTCCCTTGGTCAGGGTGAAGGTTATCTCCCCAGGTCAGGGTGAAGGTTATCTCCCTAGGTCAGGGTGAAGGTTATCTCCCCAGGTCAGGGTGAAGGTTATCTCCCCAGGTCAGGGTGAAGGTTATCTCCCCAGGTCAGGGTGAAGGTTATCTCCCTAGGTCAGGGTGAAGGTTATCTCCCTAGGTCAGGGTGAAGGTTATCTCCCCAGGTCAGGGTGAAGGTTATCTCCCTAGGTCAGGGTGAAGGTTATTGCCCCAGGTCAGGGTGAAGGTTATCTCCCCAGGTCAGGGTGAAGGTTATCTCCCTAGGTCAGGGTGAAGGTTATCTCCCTAGGTCAGGGTGAAGGTTATCTTCCCAGGTCAGGGTGAAGGTTATCTCCCCAGGTCAGGGTGAAGGTTATCTCTCCCAGGTCAGGGTGAAGGTTATCTCCCCAGGTCAGGGTGAAGGTTATCTTCCCAGGTCAGGGTGAAGGTTATCTCCCCAGGTCAGGGTGAAGGTTATCTCCCCAGGTCAGGGTGAAGGTTATCTCCCCAAGTGAGGGTGAAGGTTATCTTCCCAGGTCAGGGTGAAGGTTATCTCCCTAGGTCAGGGTGAAGGTTATCTCCCCAGGTGAGGGTGAAGGTTATCTTCCCAGGTCTGGGGGAAGGTTATCTCCTTAGGTCAGGGTGAAGGTTATTGCCCCAGGTCAGGGTGAAGGTTATTGCCCCAGGTCAGGGTGAAGGTTATCTCCCCAGGTCAGGGTGAAGGTTATCTCCCTAGGTCAGGGTGAAGGTTATCGCCCCAGGTCCGGGTGAAGGTTATCTCCCCAGGTCAGGGTGAAGGTTATCGCCCCAGGTCAGGGTGAAGGTTATCTTCCCAGGTCAGGGTGAAGGTTATCTCCCAAGGGGAGGGTGAAGGTTATCGCCCCAGGTCAGGGTGAACGTTATCTTCCCAGGTCAGGGTGAAGGTTATCTTCCCAGGTCTGGGGGAAGGTTATCTTCCCAGGTCAGGGTGAAGGTTATCTTCCCAGGTCAGGGTGAACGTTATCTTCCAGGTCAGGGTGAAGGTTATCTCCCAGGTCAGGGTGAAGGTTATCTCCCTAGGTCAGGGTGAAGGTTATCTTCCCAGGTCAGGGTGTGAAGGTTATCTCTCCCAGGTCAGGGTGAAGGTTATCTTCCCAGGTCAGGGTGAAGGTTATCTTCCCAGGTCAGGGTGAAGGTCATCTTCCCAGGTCAGGGTGAAGGTTATCTTCCCAGGTCAGGGTGAAGGTTATCTCCCCAGGTCAGGGTGAAGGTTATCTCCCAGGTCAGGGTGAAGGTTATCTCCCCAGGTCAGGGTGAAGGTTATCTCCCAGGTCAGGGTGAAGGTCAGGTCAGGGTGAAGGTTATCTCCCCAGGTCAGGGTGAAGGTTATCTCCCCAGGTCAGGGTGAAGGTTATCTCCCAGGTCAGGGTGAAGGTTATCTTCCCAGGTCAGGGTGAAGGTTATCTTCCCAGGTCAGGGTGAAGGTTATCTCCCTAGGTCAGGGTGAAGGTTATCTCCCTAGGTCAGGGTGAAGGTTATCTTCCCAGGTCAGGGTGAAGGTTATCTTCCCAGGTCAGGGTGAAGGTTATCTTCCCAGGTCAGGGTGAAGGTTATCTCCCAGGTCAGGGTGAAGGTTATCTTCCCAGGTCAGGGTGAAGGTTATCTTCCCAGGTCAGGGTGAAGGTTATCTTCCCAGGTCAGGGTGAAGGTTATCTTCCCAGGTCAGGGTGAAGGTTATCTACCCAGGTCAGGGTGAAGGTTATCTTCCCAGGTCAGGGTGACGGTTATCTCCCCAGGTCAGGGTGAAGGTTATCTCCCCAGGTCAGGGTGAAGGTTATCTTCCCAGGTCAGGGTGAAGGTTATCTTCCCAGGTGAGGGTGACGGTTATCTTCCCAGGTCAGGGTGAAGGTTATCTTCCCAGGTCAGGGTGACGGTTATCTTCCCAGGTCAGGGTGAAGGTTACCCCCCTCTACTATGTCCACCATCACCAATATTCAAGAAAAGAAAAAAAATATATGGAACAGCTACAAAAGATATTAATATTGCCATTAATTCATGACATCAAAATGTTCACATATTTCAAAGTGAGGCACTAATTGTAGGAACATGTAACATGTGCATGGAAGATCAATCTGTGGGTGTGTCATCCAACAGTTTCACAAGACCCAGCATTCTGACAGCTTGCATAGACTTTGTGAACAACTCCACTGCGACTCACATTAACAAGTGCAGTACTAGGTTATTGAAAGAGACTCGTCTGTAAAGATGAGAAGTACCTGAGACACTGGTGATTCCCAATAACATAAATACATGTTAATGTGTATGTTAAATACTAAATTGTTTTAATTTCAAACATCTAATCAAGTCAATGATCATTACTTGGTGTAATGTACATAATTATTTCACAAAATCTAGGTAGATTGTCTCATTAATTAACACCAGTGACAGTCAGTAGTCTCTGGTGAAGAATCACAGATATGCTGGAACCATGTTGTGAGACACGATGTGATGTTGAATGAGTGGGTGGGGTGTGAGTGATGCCACAAGCGTCTGCATCTACAAGCCCCAACATGCCTCCTGGCATCAATTTTCATTTAGACTTTGTCACTATATAACTGTTATTAGCAGAACATACCAGACTAAACATATGTTTACTTGACCCGAGCAACAGACTACTGGCTATGGTTGGAAACTGCAGTTTATCATGGCATGTGAGCTTGATTTAGGAACCACAAAGTGGAACAAGTTGAATGATACCTTGACCTCCTTGGGTGTGATCTGGCACCTTAAACTGACCACTGCCCAGTTCAGATGGCCAGCTACAGAGACTACCTATATGCTACACACCTCCAGTACATTATATATGTTACCACACCAAGGATGGTATGTTTATGTTGTCAGTGCTCTTATTCCACCTAATGACATGAATACTGCTAAAGAGGTATAAAACCAAATTCACACCCACACTTTTACTATGCTGTGATGCTTTTCCCTTACAACCCAAACATCTCTTCATTAGAGCAATCAAAGGTTCTATAAAATTCCCTATCAACCAGTTGATAATAGAGTTGTATGCTGATATTAACAACTACAGCATGTGAATCTGAATATCCACCTAAACGATGTTCCCTTCATGTTAGCAGAACCATGATTGTATCTCCATGAGACCACACCAGGAATGTATCTCCATGAGACCACATCAAGGGTGGTATCTAATTAAGACCACACCAAGAACGGTATCTTAATGAGACCAAACCAAGGATGGTATCTTAATGAGACCAAACCAAGGATGGTATCTTAATGAGACCAAACCAAGGATGGTATTTTAATGAGACCAAACCAAGGATGGTATCTTAATGAGACCAAACCAAGAATGGTATCTTAATGAGACCAAACCAAGGATGGTATCTTAATGAGACCAAACCAAGGATGGTATCTTAATGAGACCAAACCAAGGATGGTATCTTAATGAGACCAAACCAAGGGTGGTATCTAATTAAGACCACACCAAGAACGGTATCTTAATGAGACCAAACCAAGGATGGTATCACTCCATGAGACCACAACAAGGATGGTATATCTGTATGAGACAATGAATTGATGGATTGATTTCAACACTTCACCACCACTGAATTATGACACCTAACAGGAATGAAGTTAATGTAATATCTCATGAAAGACTTCAGTAGTGATGGAAAATTGGCAAAATATCATATCAAAAAGAGCAATTAAAAATGATCTTCCTTACTTAAGTTTATCAACAATACCTTGCACCACAAGGAACTTAACCTTCAGATACAAAAGTGTCACAAACGTCTCCCGGTAACATTGGAAGTCTGTGTGGAGTATTATTACCAAGCCCCATTTCTGGACTAGGGTCTTGGAGTTATCTCAACTGGCTGCCTCTTTCTCAAGACAAATGTTTTCCTTGTCATCATCCGTTGCGTCTTTTCCTGGTGCAAAGGGCGGCATCTTGTCCCCTGCATCTTTCACTGGAACAGTTGGCGTCGCAGGGCAGTCCTTCTTGGCAGAACTGTCTCTGCGCAGGGACGGAGCCCGGAGCAGTCCTTTGGTTTTGATCAGCTCATCATCCAGAGGGTTCTTCCGATTGGCCGTGTTTACCTGCCGGATGTCTTCAGCTGTCTGGATGGCATCAACCCTGTTACAAAATGTGAAATATGTTGGTACAAAGTACAGTCTAAATAAACTTAGGCTCAGTATTATTCGTTACACTGGTATATACTGAGTTTAACAAACACTAGTAGAAGGTCTTGTCAGCTAACCTTTGAGCAACCTATGACCGTCCAATCAAACGCGAGCCAGCTGAACGGAATTAACCAATCAGACAACGGCTACTATTTAGGGGCCGGCGGGACTTACAAATTGGCGATGCAAGATGAAATTGTCAGTGGGTTCACTTACGGTTTCTGAGGACATGCTTACTATTAGATTATATTTCCGCAAAATGACATCCTGGAATTAAAGACAAAAATGTAATTTTCTGAATAAAATTGATATTTTATACTTATCCTGACTCATGCTATTTTGCTTGTCTTCTTCTTCTTGCGAACACAGTGGAACACTTGTATCTCCCAATTGAAGCTCCCTTCAATGTAAAATCACTAATTAGTACTCACCAAGAGTTATCTCTATCCCACTCCTTTGCTCGGGAACGAGGGCGCCACTTCCCGCCACATGCCTCACTCTCTCCTTATATAGCGAGCCCAACACTTGAATTTTCAGGGAAATCCAAAGTGTTATGTGGGAGGATGGGAGGAAGTTACCTCATGAGTCAGGATAAGTATAAAATATCAATTTTATTCAGAAAATTGCATATTTTTCCTTATCCTGACTCATGCTATTTTGTAGAAGAACTTACGGATACGGAGGTGGGAATACAGAATACTTTGGATTTAGATAATTAGTGATTTGATAACTGTAATAACTGTAATAACCCTTATGGGAACTTCATAAAGGCACTGAATTGATAAATTCCTGCTGTTAAACTTATCAGCTGCCATATATGGGTTACTACAATATATAGATATTATGATAAACATAAATAAAGTATTTACAACATGAATACTATGCTTAAGACTAAGCTAGACTTAAGCTTGATAATATAATAGCATAAACTTCATAGAGTTGTTAGCTAATGATATTATTATGATATAATAAACATAGTACTGAGCTTAAGATTGTGATTGAACTTAAGCTAAAATATATTATAGCATAAACTTCATAGAGTTATTAGCTATATAGTACTGTTGTGAAATGAGCAGTAAAAATCTCGTAAGATTGACTTATCTTCTCCGAGGGACTGTCAGCTGCTGTGCGAGGACCATGGGACCGAAATGGTGAATACCTATCCATATCGAGATAGTTGTACGTGAGACTTCAGTCTGTGTAGCTGTCGATAGAGGGATGAATAATCGTTTGAGTTTGTGTCGCCTCGGATTGGATCGTCGTAGGTATATTTTCAGTGCTCTGACTGGGCATAATGATAGATCCAGTGTATAATGAGGTCCAAGAATTGATGAGAGAGCTGGGACGTGGAATAATCTGTCTGGTTGACCTGGCAACTGGTTCTTGGCGATGAAATCCCAGCGTAGTCCCAAATGCACGATGTTATGATTGTCATCAAAGCGTGTTCTCTCGTAATCTAGTGCGTGAATCTCTGACATCCTGGCTGCTGTTGCTACGGATAACAGGAACAAAGTTTTCTGTGTCAGAAATTCGAATGATGTTGATTCCAGTGGTTCATATGCCTCACTTGTGAGGTGTTGGAGCACTACATTTAGATCCCATGCTGGAGCCCGAAACCTCTGTTTCTGATCCTCCAATCGGAATGCACGTAGTAAAGGCGAGTAACTCTGGGGTTTTCGTCAGCTTGACACCCGTTCTCATAGTTATGACAGAGCTTAAAGCTGCGAGATATGTTGATAATGTTGAGCCTTTTAGACGTTTAGTCTGACGTAGGTAACATAAGTAATCAGCCACTTGTGGATGTGTAGCATTTCTAGCTGTAAATCCTTTCTTTGCAGCATAATTTTCAAAACTGTGCCACTTGTCATCGTACAAGTTGCGAGTGGAGTTGCGTAATGCAAGCGTGACTGCTTTCGCCCCTCTGGCTGAATAACTTCTCTTGTTTAGACACGCCTTAATACAGTCCATACGTGAAGTTGGAATGCTTCTGGCTTTCCGTGTGCTTGTTTGGTGTGAGGATGTATTAGTCGATTCGAGCGCTTTGGAAGTTGTAGTATTGGTTGGCCGATTTCTTGAATAAGAGTTGGAAACCACGTTCTCGCTGGCCAGTAGGGCGCGACCAAAATCATTTGGAGGCCCCGAGTTTGCTTGATTTTCTGTAACACCTGTGGGATTAACGCTGGTGGCGGGAACACATACGCGTTGAGTCCTTCCCACGATATGCTTAGTGCGTCCGTTGCCCATGTTGTGGGTCTGGGACTGGTGATACGAATGTTGTCAGCTGATTGTTGAAACGAGTGGCAAATAGGTCTATTAGTGGAGCTCCTATTTTCTTGATAATTTGTGCGAATATCTCTGTATGGAGCATCCATTCTGTCGGCGATGGTAGGTGTGGCCGAGAGAGAGCGTCTGCTATTACATTCTTTGCTCCTGGAATATGACATGCTCTGACATGTATGTTGAGATTGTCGATTAGATCGAACAATTGAAAACATAGAGTCAATAGGTTCGGGGACCTGGTTGAGCCTTGTTTGTCCATTGGTAATGCAGCCCGTCTAGTGTAAACCGAAGGTATTTCCTGGAGTCAGGATGTATTGGGATGTGTAGATATGCGTCTTGCAGATCTATGCTGGCCATGTAGTCTCTGGGACGAATTAAGTGCCGTAGTTGTGGAAAGTGTATCATGCGAAACGCTGGCGGTTTGCGTAGATAGTCTCTGTTGAACGTGCTCATATTGTAGATGAGACGAAACTTTTCTTTGGAATTTTTCTTGGGCACTAGGAAAACTTGGGAGTAGAGGCCTGGTTCGATGTTTACTTGGTCCAGTACTTCTATGGCCTGCTTGGTTAGGAGCGTTGATACCGCTTCTCTTAACTTTGGTAGTTGTAGAGCCTGGAAGTCGAACCTCGGAGGGATGACTGTCAGCGGAGGCGTGGCCTGTAGTTGTATGCGATATCCGTGCTGTAGGATGTTGGAGACATATGGATCCTCTAGGAATCCCCAGTTTTCCCAGTGCAGTTGAAGGCGTCCACCCACTTGTGATGGTTGTACTGGAACGGCATGGGGTGGAAGACTCCAGTCGTTCCGAACCTGTCCTTCATCGTTTGTAATTGCGGGAGCCTCTGGATGACCTGCCTCTTCCCGATGCTCCTCTGTAATTGCCGTATGGGCGGCGAAAAGACTCTTTTGCTCCTCTTACATTAGCCATCTTCCTGTCCCGTGCTTTCTGTAGACCAGAGAACTTCGATTTGCCTGAGTACCTCTGCAAAGTTTGTCTTATGACGCTTGCTAGCGTATCCATAGACTTTATCATGAGTACCTCTCTTGAGTCTTTAGAGACTTCTTTAGAGACTTTGTCTATGTTACCATCGAAGATGGACGGTGAAGACCACGGGGCTGTGTAGAGTGGTGCGGTGAAGTGATCACCCCAATTACAGGAGGCGAGGAGACCTTGACGACGAGCCATAGTTGTAGCTGCGGATAGTGCTGTTAAGTGATCCGTAAGGAACTGCTGGTCCTTCTTCTGCATGAGGAAGGCCGAGTAAATCATTCTATCATCCTCAGATGTAGAGTCTCTGAACTTCGTGAGGAGAGATTCGTTGACTGTTCTTGATCTGTTCAGACCAAAAAACATCCTCCTTGATATGGTTTCCATCTGGGCTAGCTTGTGGTCATCTCTTCTGTAAGTCTTGGACCTGGCATCACTGATCATCTTATAGTTATCATCGATATCTTGTGCCTTGTAAAAAGGGTCCATGTTGTGACCTGCAAACTTGTTAGCGTTGAAATGCGGCACATGTGGTGTCTGTGATTTTGTGGCTTTATTAAAGGCTGTATCCAGATTAGCTAGCACCGCTGCTATCGGGTCAATCGGGGGTAAGGTGATTGTGTCAGCATCGTCTTCCTTCATAAGATATGTGTGGGCTGAGTTCTCGTTCTTAGACGGGGAGGAAAGTTCCAGACTATTCACCATCCAATATCTTATTTCTGCGTCGGAAAATACGATACCATCTTCATCTTCAGACATCGGGTCACAGATAATGTGTTGATGCTCCTCCGGTAGTAACTGAGGTAGAGTCCTTGATGATCTGTACGTGGATCAACAAGGTGATCGATGAGGCGATCGATAAGGAGATCGGCGAGTGGAATGATGTGGTGACGAGTGGCGTCTATAAGGTGACCTTCGCGGAGACTTCCTTGGCGAACGCTGGTAGCTTCGCGAAGCTCTCGGTGACTCTCTTAAAGATCTTCTAGATGAGGATGACTTGGAGCCACTTAACCTTCGTGAAGGTTGAGAGTCTGAGTCGGAATCATGGGATGAGAGGATCTTGCTTCGCGAACGTTCTCTCTCATCAAGGTCCGGTAGGGTGATATAGTCATCCTCCGTGAAGCCTTCCGTGCGGATCTGCTTAGGCGGCTGGGTCGCCTAAGCCCTTCGCTGAGGCGTCCAGCTGGCTGGGTCGCCCTACGCGGAGACATGCAAACGGGCTGGGTCGCCCTACACGGAGGTATGGGGGTGGGCTGGGTCGCCCCTGGCTCTAAAGGCCTCCGAAGACCGTAGCGATCTTCCATCATCTTCATTATGTGGTTCATCAGGTCGTCTGGGACGGTCTGCGCTGAAGTAGTTGCTGCCTTCTCTACGATGGTAGCGACGGGACCCTCAGGACGATTCTCTGACATCAGTGTAGGTGCCTCAGCCTGCGTCCTAATCTGCGCTGATGTTATAGTTACCGACACTGGCCGCTTCTTCCACCTTACATCTGGAATGATGATCGGATCATCATCATCAAACAGGCCCAACTCTGCAACGGGAACAATCTCGGCTGAGAAAGAACTGCTGGACTTCGATGATTTCCCCTGCGACGTGGATGTAGCCCTGGGGGTGCGGAGTCTGCGTTGTGACGACGTGGAAGCCCTCCTAGTCTTTGGCTGCGACGACGGGATGTCCGGGGATGCAGGTCGCTTCTTGGAGGTAGCGGACTGCGTCCCACGCCTCTCCTCCGAGGGTAACTCTAGCGAAACACCAGACGGGAGGGGGTCGTCCGACAACAGTTGACAGGGTAAGGGCTCTGGTGTATTAGCCATGGCTAAAATCCGTTTACGTGCTGCGCGTCTCAAGACGCAGAATAAATATTTATCAAAGGCAGAATTGGATAAATTAATACAATAATTGCAACGTGAAACAGTAGAGCATGGCGTAGTACAACTAGGGCATATTAAATGCGGGTCAGCAGCAGAAAAACGTAATTTACAAATAGTGCAGATTTTCATCAACGCAAACTACTGAACAAACACGGAGTCCCGTGAATAAAACAGCAGAAACACGAATAAATATCAATGCATTATGTTGAAGGATACTAGCTACACCTCTATAGAAGTCTATGAGAGGTAAATAACTAAGAATAAACAAAGGATATAGTGTGTAGGGAGACACAGGCGCTCTCACATCCTGCTCACTGGGCGAAGAAGGAGAGAGTGAGGCATGTGGCGGGAAGTGGCGCCCTCGTTCCCGCGCAAAGGAGTGGGATAGAGATAACTCTTGGTGAGTACTAATTGGTGATTTTACATTGAAGGGAGCTTCAATTGGGAGATACAAGTGTTCCACTGTGTTCGCAAGAAGAAGAAGACAAGCAAAATAGCATGAGTCAGGATAAGGAAAAAATTACTATTTTCAGCAACTGTTTACACACTTTTGTGAATAACAGCGCCCTCCATGTGTATCACTCAGAAGCGATCGTGCAGAAAATAGCATTCGGAATCGTTCAAGTACAAATGTTTTCGAGATAAAAGTTCAAACGGTATGTGCGAATATTCACTTTCGCGATTTGGTAAACTGTGTTCTGATTGGTAAATGAAAAGGGTTAGCTGATGCGACCTTCTACTAGTGTTTGTTAGACTTAGTATATACCAGTGTTACGAATAATACTAAGTTTACTTAGACTGGAAGAAAGTAATACATGGTCATCAATCATTGCTGTGAGTAGTGCTCTTGCATTTTTCCTTTTCAAGAATTTGCCCCAAAACAATGTACACGGACATGGGGCGAGTCATTCTAAATATGGCAAGCATTAGGGGAGGGTAATTGTTTTTTTGGTGCATCTAAACCCTCTGACCCACCTAGTCTGATCCACAACTATCTTTTAACCTGATGCAGGAACACAATCATTAATAGTTTCCCATGTGGCCTGCTATTTGTTGGTAGAATCTGCTTGTAATAAATGATGGTCCCAACAAGGCTACTGTATGCCAAGACATTGTGCTGATATCTAACCTCTGTTTTGAGTCTGGGTGCACGGCGTTGATCTCGTCCAGCAATGCATGCATCTGACAGTCATGCTCCGCATCATTCGTAGACTGACCAAGCCTGGCGACAGAAACATACGTGACGGGTCACTCATGCAGGCAGTGACCACCAGAAACACAGGCAAACCGTCATGCAAATGTCTGCGTGTTTAGGCTTTATTGAGGTGAATGTATTCAGCAGGAATCACACTAAACATATTAGGAAGATGCACATACAGCTGTGATCAAGAGTAGGTTATCGATGCATTCTTCATTTTCTCTTCTTAGCTTTCAAAATCTAGCTGTGCATAAGAGCAGAGCAAACACTGGTCCTCTTTACAAGCTGGAAAGGACATAGCACAGCAATGTGTATTTGATGTGTGGTCGAGAGAAATAGGTTAGGTACAGGTGAGCATAGCAAGGATCAGAAGTGGCAAATGAAACAAAGTCAATGTCTATCATCAGGTCTCTCAGACAAAGGCTATGGGACACCTACTTGAGCGTCAATCTCTGACAAAGGCTATGGGACACCTACTTGAGCGTCAATCTCTGACAAAGGCTATGGGACACCTACTTGAGCGTCAATCTCTGAGACAAAGGCTATGGGACATCTACTTGAGAGACAATCTCTGACAAAGGTTATGGGACACCTACTTGAGCATCAATCTCTGACAAAGGCTATGGGACACCTACTTGAGCATCAATCTCTGAGACAAAGGCTATGGGACACCTACTTGAGAGACAATCTCTGACAAAGGTTATGGGACACCTACTTGAGCATCAATCTCTGACAAAGGCTATGGGACACCTACTTGAGCATCAATCTCTGACAAAGGCTATGGGACAGCTACTTGAGCATCAATCTCTGACAAAGGCTATGGGACACCTACTTGAGCATCAATCTCTGACAAAGGCTATGGGACACCTACTTGAGCATCAATCTCTGACAAAGGCTATGGGACACCTACTTGAGCGTGAATCTCTGACAAAGGTTATGGGACACCTACTAGGGTGGCGGAGGCTAGGGGGTAACCACTTGAGCGTCAATCTCTGAGACAAAGGCTATGGACACCTACTTGAGTGTCAATCTCTACCAAAGGCTATGGGACACCTACTAGGGTGACAGAGGCTAGGGGTTACCTACTTGGGTGCGAGTCTCTCTGTGACGGAGGCTATGGGGTTACCTACTTGGGTGCGAGTCTCTCTGTGACGGAGGCTAGGGGGTAACTACTTGAGCGTCAATCTCTGAGACAAAGGCTATGGACACCTACTTGAGTGTCAATCTCTACCAAAGGCTATGGGACACCTACTAGGGTGACAGAGGCTAGGGGTTACCTACTTGGGTGGGAGTCTCTCTGTGACGGAGGCTATGGGGTACCTACTTGGGTGCTGAGTCTCTCTGTGACGGAGGCTAGGGGGTAACTACTTGAGCGTCAATCTCTGAGACAAAGGCTATGGACACCTACTTGAGTGTCAATCTCTACCAAAGGCTATGGGACACCTACTAGGGTGACAGAGGCTAGGGGTTACCTACTTGGGTGGGAGTCTCTCTGTGACGGAGGCTATGGGGTACCTACTTGGGTGCGAGTCTCTCTGAGATGGAGGCTATGGGGTACCTACTTGGGTGCGAGTCTCTCTGTGACGGAGGCTATGGGGTTACCTACTTGGGTGCGAGTCTCTCTGTGACGGAGGCTATGGGGTACCTACTTGGGTGCGAATCTCTCTGAGACGGAGGCTATGGGGTACCTACTTGGGTGTGAGTCTCTCTGTGACGGAGGCTATGGGGTTACCTACTTGGGTGCGAGTCTCTCTGTGACGGAGGCTATGGGGTACCTACTTGGGTGCGAGTCTCTCTGAGACGGAGGCTATGGGGTACCTACTTGGGTGCGAGTCTCTCTGTGACGGAGGCTATGGGGTACCTACTTGGGTGCGAGTCTCTCTGAGACGGACGCTATGGGGTACCTACTTGGGTGCGAGGCTCTCTGTGACGGAGGCTATTGATGAGACGAAGGAGGTCAGCTGGGCGGTGATGACCTTCAGGTGTTTTGTCTCCTGCTGCAGTCTCACAACATCCTGGCACTGAGCTGCAGTCAAACAAGAGAAACATAGCAAGATGTGCTACATGTTAACTCTCCAGGTCCCTCACAGCAGCGAGACAATAAATCAACACTTTTACAATCAGGTTTTGTTAGAATTAAACATCCAAGAGGTGATTAACAAAATTAGCATATCCTGAGATGCTGACACTTTCAGACACAAAGACATGTTGATAGGTCAGTGGATAACGCAAGGCATGTGGTCTGAAGGTACAGTATATTGTCCTCAGGTTAATGTCACCCTGATGTTTCTCTAATCCTCACTTACCCTGATACAGCTCTTGTTCATTGGCGATTCGTTGCACACTCTCTTCCCAGTGCTGGAACAGAAAACTTCCAACATAAGGCACATTCATGACACCTTATCAACACCACCAATACCACACACCACCACCAATACCACACAACACCACCAATACCACACAACATCACCAATACCACACACCACCACCAATACCACACACCACCACCAATACCACACACCACCACCAATACCACACACCACCACCAATACCACACACAACACCACCACCACCAATATACTACACACACCACCAAATACCACACACCACCACCAATACCACCACACACCACTACCACACACTACCACACACACACACCACCACACTACACACACCACCACCAATACCACACACACCACCAATACTACACACCACCACCAATACCACTACACTACCACTACTAATACACCACACACACTACCATACACACACCACCACCACTATATACTACACACCACCACTACATAATACACACACTACCACCAATACCACACACACCACCATACCACACACCACTACTAATACTATACCACACACTACCACTACACACCACACACACCACCACACCACCACCAATACCACACACCACCACCAATACCATACCACACTACCACACACACCACCACACACACCACCACAATACACACACCACCACCAATACCACACACTACCACTAATACCACCACTAATACCACCAATACCACACACACCACAAATACCACACTACCACTACCAATACTACACACTACCACACTAATACCATACACACACCACCACCAATACCACACACACTACTACACCAATACCACACACCACCACTACTACCACATACCACCACCACTAATACACACTACCACCACTACCACTACAACACACACTAATACTACACACTACACACCACCACCACCAATACTACACCACTAATACCACACACCACCACCACTATACACCAATACTACCACACACCACTACACCACCACCACTAATACCACACACCACCACACACTCACCACCAATACCACACACCACCACCACCAATATACCACACACCACCACTACCACCACTACAATAATAATACCACCAATACTACATACCACTACCACCAATACCACACACCACCACTAATACCACACACCACCACCAATACCACAATACTACTACACACCACCACTAATACCAATACACCACCACCACCACCAATACTACACACTACCACTAATACTACACACACCACTAATACCACACACCACCACTAATACCACCACACAACACCACTATTATAATACCACACACCACCACCAATAATACCACACACCACCAATTAATACCACACAACACCATCAATATATACCACATACCACTACTAATACACACAACACCACTAATACTAATACTACACACTACCACCAATACCACACACCACCACCATTTACAATACCACTACCACTACTAACACCAATACTACTATTAATACTACAATACCACACACCACCACTAATATACCACACACCACCACCAATACTACACACCACCACCAATACCACACAACACACACCACACAATACACCATACCACACACCACCACCAATACCACACACCACTAATACTACTACACACACCACCACCACATACCACACACCACCACCAATACCACACACCACCACATATACCACTCACACACACTACCACCAATACCACACAACACCACCAATACCACACACACTACCACTAATACCACACACCACCACCAATATACTACACACCACCACCAATACCACACACCACCACCACCAATACTACCAATACCACCACCAATAATACACACCACACACCACCACCAATACCACACACCACCACACCAATACCACACACACCACCAATACTACACACCACCACTACCAATACCACACACCACTAATACCACACACTCACTACTACCACCACCACCACTACCACCACCACACCACCAATACCCAATTACACACACACTAACTACTACCACAATACCACCACCAATACCACATACCACACAACACCACCAATACCACACACCAATACCACCAATACCACACACCACCACCAATACCACACACCACCACCAATATACTACACATACCACTAATACCACACACCACCACCACCACTACTACACAATACCACCACTACCACAACACACCACACCACCACCACATACCACAACCAATTACCACCACCAATACCATACAACACCACCAATACCACACACCACCACCAATACCACACACCACCACCAATACCACACACCACCACCAATACCACACACCACCACCAATACCACACACCACCACCAATACCACACACCACCACCAATACCACACACCACCACCAATATACCACTACCTACCACACACCACCAATAATACCACACACACCACCACCAATACCACACACCACCACCAATACCACACACACCACCAATACCACACAACACCACCACCCACACCACCACCACCACTACCACACACCACCACCAATACCACACACCACCACCACCAATACACAATACCACCAACACACACCACCCAATACCACCACCACCACCACACATACCACCACCACCACACCTCACCACCACCAATACTACACACCACAATAATACCACACCACCACTAATACCACACACCACCACCAATACCACACACCACCACCACCACCACACACACCACCACCACCACCACCACCACCACCACCACACACTCACACCACCACCAATACCACCAATACACATAATTTCACCACCAATACCACACACCACCACCAATACCACACACACCACCAATACCACACACCACCACCACCATACCACACACACCACACCACCACCATACCACACACCACCACCAATACCACACACCACCACCAATACCACACACCACCACCAATACCACACACCACCACCAATACCACACACCACCACCAATACCACACACCACCACCAATACCACACACCACCACCAATACCTCACACACCACCACCACACACCACACCACCAATACCACACACCACCACCACTAATACACCACACCACCAATACATCACACCACCAATACCTCACACCACCAATACCACACACCACCACCAATACCACACACCACCACCAATACCACACACCACCACCAATACCTCACACCACCAATATACCACACACCACCACCAATACCTCACACCACCAATATACCACACACCACCACCAATACCACACACCACCAACAGCATTAACATGAGTACCCTACAGTTAAGTGCTCCTTGCACCATGGGGATTTGAGGGTATGTTTGACAGATGTTATCGGTACCCATGTGGATGTGTCTCTACTACAGACATGAGTGTACCTCTTCCTGCTATAATTTGGGGGAGTACTATCTCTGTTACAGATGGGGGAGTACCATATCTCTACTACAGATGTGAGTGTACAATATCTCTACTAAATATGTATGATATCTCCACTACAGATGTGAGTGTACAATATCTCTACTAAATATGTATGATATCTCCACTACAGATGTGAGTGTATAATATCTCTACTAAATATGTATGATATCTCCACTACAGATGTGAGTGTACAATATCTCTACTAAATATGTATGATATCTCCACTACAGATGTGAGTGTACAATATCTCTACTAAATATGTATGATATCTCCACTACAGATGTGAGTGTACAATATCTCTACTAAATATGTATGATATCTCCACTACAGATGTGAGTGTACAATATCTCTACTAAATATGCATGATATCTCCACTACAGATGTGAGTGTATAATATCTCTACTAAATTTGTATGATATCTCTACTATATATGTGGGTGTACCATATGTCTTCTACAAAAGTGGGTGTATGATATTTCTACTAAAGACAGGAGTGTACCTTCTCGAGTGCTGGCTGTTTCTCCTCTATGTAACCATAGTGTTTCTCTAGCTGACTCTCCACGCTGTCAATGACATTTTTCAATTCCTCCACTGCTGACCGCCCTGCCAGACACCGTCTGAGGGTCAGATCTCTCTGCAGCTCCTGCACCTGAGACTTGAGTTTCTCCAGCTTTTGTATCACGTCCTGAACACAGAGGGGAGGTAGAGTGAGTAGCACTTACTTGACAAAGATCCTTAAATACATCATTATGGTTCAAGGGAAATAGTCTTGGTACTGTGTCCAAACTAGATGTGTGATTAGCAGGATGCTGTTGGTATATTCATCATACTCTGCAGCTGATAGACTGCAGTGTATAGACAAAGGGTATATCTATGTTAGCATATGGGACTCGCACTATGTATTTACCTACCCTATGAGAAGTTTCAAACTCCACACAGTGCTCGGCAAAGACACCCCTGGCATCTATAAACTTGACTTTGCCGATGCCGTTCCGGCGGCCGTTGTTCTGTGGTGCCTTGATAGGTGTGTTTCCAGCAGCTGCTGCCTGATTGGGTGGCTTGGGCACCTCCACCCTGCTTCAAAAGTCAGCATGGTCAAGCAAAATGAACTTGTGTATTCCCTCCAATACAGTTCAAAACAAAAATGATTTTCTTGAAGACGATGATTATGCAAATGACATGTATGAGCCACGAAGATAACACATAAAATATGTTTTAAATTGACGTTGATGATATCAGATTAGTTTCATGTAAAAACCTCTTAATTCTGTTGTGATCAGGATTATTTTGGTGGTGACGACTGAGCATATAATTTCTTTACAATATCCCCCGTATTCATGAAATCTGACTATGTTTGTTCAGTATATTACAGTCCAGGGCCTAGATTTTCGAAGCTCTCTTAACGCTAAGATAGTCGTAAGTTAATGTTAATGAATGGCACTTACGACTATCTTAGCGCTAAGAGAGCTTCGAAAATCTAGGCCCTGCTTCGCTACCTACTTGAAGCTGGGCGTGGAAGGCACTGGGGTGGCTCCCTTAACGCTAAGATAGTCGTAAGTTAATGTTAATGAACGGCACTTACGACTATCTTAGCTCTAAGAGAGCTTCGAAAATCTAGGCCCTGCTTCGCTACCTACTTGAAGCTGGGCGTGGAAGGCACTGGGGTGGATCGTTGTAGAGCAGGACTGGAGGACAGCACTTTCCCCCGGCCATCATACAACAGGGGCTCCAGGCTCCTGTAACCATGGCAACACTCATGTTCAACTCATGCATATCTGACCTTTGTAAGGTATCCACCATTTTCCTTCACACACACACACAAAACTGTACTCTGTGGATGTACATACATCAGTGGCACTGACAATAAGCTTATACTCAAGGAACAGAAAGATTTACAATGTTATTATCTTAATGGTGGAAAGTATGGGAAACAAATTCCAATTTAATTAGCCTATAACTGATATCAGGAAATATGATCTGACATGAATGGTTCAGAGGAATTCACATATATATTGAGACGCAATGTAGCAACAAGTCAGTGTTTTGCTAGAGCTTGACACCACTTTGAACAGTAATTGCTGTGGGGAAAGCCCAAAGCACAGCATGTCTCAGACATTTACCACTTCAGTAAACCCTATGAATCTGGATATGGCACTGACAAGTGTAGTACTATAATTAGGTGGAACTGTGATTAGATTCCATGATCACAGGTGTCTGACCTGTCCAGGGGACACAACTCTGCACAGCGAATCGTGGCACCTTTGATCATATGGCCAACCTAGCCTTCAGAAACATCTCAGTAAGCTTGGTTTGGTTTGTTGTTTAACGCCGCACTTAGCAATATTCCAGCTATATCGCGACGGTCTGTAAATAATCAAGTCTGGACCAGACAATTCAGTGATCAACATCATGAGCATCATTAATAATAATAATAATAATAATTGGCTTGTATAGCGCCTAGTTTCCATCATAGATGCTCAACGGCGCTGCATAACATCATTCTACGCAATTGGGACACGACGATATGTGTCAACCAAGTCAGTGAACCTGACCACCCGATCCCTTTAGTCGCCTCTTACAACAAGCATGGGTTACTGAAGACTAATTCTAACCCAGATCTTCATGGGTTCTCCGTAATCAGTGAAAATAGAAGACTTGAATGGAAAACTCACTTGGCAAATTTGTTCTTGAAGTCTGTGTCGATCTGGCTGCCTTGTGTTGGGTGGAGGGGATGCTGACAGTGAACGATGGACTTGAGTCTCTCCATCATGTCCTATACAACAGACGACCCAGACAGTGAGGTAGAGCTAGTGCCACTGGGCAAACACCTAGTTATAAAGGGGCTTTACTAAATGTGGGTGTCATATATGGCTGGAAAACATAATTCCTGATAATCAGAAACAGATGTTAGACATGCATCAAGCCAAAAAACATATTCATTAAAGCAGTGAGGATTTGACTTGACTATAGCTTCAATTGGTGGTGTAAATCAGCCTGCAAACCCAGTGAGAGTCACCATCTATCCATGTACACTATGCATGGATGAATGTTATGGTCAAATCAGTATTACTTTACAGCCAGTAAGAGTCACCATCTATCATATATTATTTGATAGCTGTATTATCTCACAGCAAGTGTTCAGCCTGCTGGATTGGGTACGTATCTATATCATAAACACAACTCACATAGGACATATCTAGAAACTCGAACTTATTGGCGGAGCTGGCGAATGCTGCTGACGTCACGAGATGGACATGTATGGTGGGCAAGAGTGTGGTCAAGCCGGTCAACTGAGCCTTGAATGATGACTCCTTGGCCTTGTACTGGCTGCAAAATAACTAACATGTTAACAGACATACCGGTACATATCTACAGCAGAGCATAGAAATAGCAAACTCACAGCAAGCACAGTTAAATTATCACAAGCAAATCTTGTGGTAAGGGGCACCAACAGACACTATCTCACCTGTTGGCCTCCTCCAGGAGGGTCTCCATGGTCAGTTTGATCTTCTCCTGCATGGAGGAATAAATATAGGAAACTGCTTCACTCTCCTTCCTGGCATTCTGTTTGATCTCCTCAAGCAGTGCTCGTAGCAGTAAGATTCCATCTCTCACTGAGTTCTGTAGATCTCGTACAGCCTGTAAAGGAGTCAAATCTCTGAATCTTGTGCTTTCTTACTTAATACAACTTATCATGTTAATATACACAAGTAATATAAGAAGACTATCTGTGAACATGCTTGAATATAACTTCAGTCAAGATCAACACATGACTAGTAATGTTGGTCTTTGTAAAAAATTCCTCTCCTTATTCAAAGTTGGCTGGTTGGTTGTTTTGTTGTTTAACGCGGCACTCAGCAATATTCCAGCTACATGGCGGTGGTCTGTAAATAATCGGTCTGGACCAGACAATCCAGTGATCAACAGCATGAGCATCGATCTACGCACTTCCACTCAAAGTAAGTGTGTGTTATGCTACATTCAGCAATATTCTAGCTATATCATGACACCTAACAACATTGTATCCGAACCAAGTGCAATGTTAAAGAATGGGAGTTAAGGTTAATCTTAGTAAAGTTTGCTTCGTGAAAAGAGCCCCTGGAATAACCACCAGGTCCTGAATCCAAATGTTTGAAGTCCATCTTACAACACATGATGAATATCATCAGCGCCAGTATTTACTAGTTGTCTGATGTCTTGGAGTTCATTGTGAGACCACGATTACAATATCAGTCAGTTAATAGCTGCGCTATAGTTTAGTTACCTGCACACTCTGCTCCAGCTTGCGACAACTCTGGTTGTAAGCAGTTTCCAGGTCCACACAGTGGGTCCTGCTCTCGCTGGGAAAAACAAATGGAATAACAAGCAATGATTTAATTAACTGCATAAATCCTGAAAATAGTTTGGACTTATGTTTGATTTTCAAGTAGTAACATATAGTCTGTGTGGCTTGTAACACATTGGTAACACATATAGTCTGTGTGGCTTGTAACACATTGGTAACAGATAGTCTGTGTGGCTTGTAACACATTGGTAACATATAGTCTGTGTGATATGTGTGATGCATAAGTAACAGATGTAGCATGTGACACTCTGTTAACAGATAAAGTTGATGGGACATGTGACAGATATGGCGGTCACCATGGTGACAGGGAGGGAACCTTACATCCTCATGTCTCTGAAGCAGTTGATGCACAGCATGATCTTCTTCTCCGTGGAGAACATGATGTACGGCTCCTTGTGCAGGGCTGAAACAACAGACCTTCAGCTGAGACACAAGGCTATCTACGTGTTGACGTGTCTCCCACTCCCACATACAGCCATTGTTAAATCACAGGAAATATTTCCATGGCAACCAGCATGGTTTTGGCCCAAACACACAGTAAATATGTTGGCACAAATACAGTGAGACAGTCAGTAAGTATGGCTCTACAACCCAAGTCTTCAGCATAACAAGCAAAACATTTAATCATTTTGGGTACTCGACCGCTTCTGGCCCAAACATAGTCTAGTACAATGAATGAATGAATGAGTATGGTTTTACGCCGCTTTTAACAATATTCCAGCAACATCACAGCAGAGGACACCAGAAATGGGCTTAACGCATTGTACCCATGTTTGGAATCGAACCCGGGCCTTCAGCGTGATGAGCTAACGCTTAGTTTAACCACTAGGCTACCCCTCCGCCCCCAGTCTAATACAAACAGGGTGTATTTGTGAAAAATACATCAACAAAAACAACTGAACATACTTAATGGAGGTTAATCTAGTATCTAAGAAGCAAATAGAGGCACATACAGCTGCAGATGTTCAAGTTACTTACAACAACGTTTGTGTATTTCCTTTGTTCTCTTCGATAAGACAACAATGTCATGAGCAGCAAACATCTTGGCACGATGGGTCTCATCTCTACAGCTGGTACACAGGGGCTGGCAGCAGGTGTTGCAGAAATACATGGGGTTACAGTCCTGAAGTCAACACAACAGTTGTGTGGTGGTACAGATATACATGGGGTTACAGTCCTGAAGTCAACACAACAGTTGTGTGGTGGTACAGAAATACATGGGGTTACAGTCCTGCAGTCAACACAACAGTTGTGTGGTGGTACATGGGGTTACAGTCCTGCAGAAATACATGGGGTTACAGTCATGGGGTTACAGTCCAGTCAACACAACAGTTGTGTGGATGGTACAGAAATACATGGGGTTACAGTCCTGAAGTCAACACAACAGTTGTGTGGTGGTACAGAATTCTAAGATTGCTGGTGGTACAGAAAGATCAACAGTCCTGAAGTCAACACAACAACAGTTGTGTGGTGGTACAGAATTCTAAGATGACAGTACTTTATCAGACGATAATGTGCACTTTTTGCATTACGTCACAATGTATTGGCGTCACTGCGCCATTCTAGTCTGCCCCCTCGTAATCGAACAATTTTGTATTACGTCGCAATGTAAGCGAAATCATGACACGTCAGTTGTCATCGCCTCGTACAGCCTCCTACAGTAAATGTCTCCGTTGCATCCCGTTTCTTGGTTTGCAGTTGCTTCACGCAGATAACATCACTGGTGGATTCATTATGTTAATGTTTTCCAACGGTTAAAATGTCTCAATTCGACTCACAAGTTTTCAGCGACACGATAACGTTCGCAATGTTTACATTCCCACAATGCAATCGTGGAATGTCGCTTGACTTTCATATTGCCCCATATGGTTTACGTTAATCACAGATGTAATAAAAAGATTTAGAGAAGATTTTAATCCGAACGTAAACATTCATCAAACTGTTTATCATTTGTTTTTTGGAGGGTAACGTTCGTCTTAACGTAGGGGGGCAGACACATCAATAGAACAGCGCACCTGTTAGCCCTGTGCGAGGATTCTTAATTTAGGTCACCGACACCGTTGTTTGTTTTCTGACGTAGATTAATCGTAATTATCCTTAGAAAGTATTAAATTTGGCATCTTAGAAAAGAAATACAGTTTTCTTAAATACATGGGGTAATATGTCGTGATATTAAAATTAGCTGTAAAGTTTAAGTAAAAATGTACAGAGTGAATTATGAATAATACAAACTTTATCACAGTTGGCACATGATGCTTTCTCGTCAAGGGAAGATTCGACCATGAACTTCAGCAGGGGATCTGGGGGAGGTAATGAGTTTCCTTCTTTTAAGTGTGTAGTTGCCCTGTAATAGAACATTTTGGTTACCATGGTTATATCTTTGTTTTTCACTTTAATCAAATATAATTGTTGAGGCCAAAATGATTACGTATTTTATGAGCACTTTATGAAAATTCCCACTCAGGTCATGGGAGGTAACTCTAATTCAGTTTTGCTTTGAATGTAGTGTCGCATGTGCACGCGGGTATCGTGCAGTGTAGAATGCAGGGTAGAATGTGGAAGGACACGTGTGGAGGAAGAGGTGATTCAAAATGGTATGGAAACACTTTATTTTTCTCAACATAATACATGTATTTAATGTTTATTTGATTGGCAACAGTTGTTAACAGTATATTCTATTCTGATGCAGTCAATCGTTCCTTTGTGTTCCTTTGCGTACTTTTCATCTTGAAAGTAGTTGTTTGAACCAACACGCAAGTTTTTAAGTCTATGCTACATGTATTCACAACGTGTTCAGAACAAGATGTAAACCGAATGAGAATGAATGCAGAAATAAAACAAAAAGGATGAATTGACTTTATCTTCACACGTCGTCTATGAATGTAGTCTACAATAATCATGGTAGTATTGTTATTACTGAAAAAATTAGCTAAAGCATACTCATTAATAAAAGGTCAAATGATATCTGAAGCAACTTTTAAGCATAACAATACTATTTCAATTAAACTTCAACTATGTAATTACAAATTAACATGAGGGAACAATATTTTCTCTAAATATTGTGATGATTATGAATTCAGAAAGGGCAAAAATAAACTCTGTGAAAGATTGTTGAAAAGCTCACCACATATATATTTATGCGTGACTTACCCACAAAGAGGACACAGCATCTGCGCGTCTGCTGCTCGACCCCGCAAGCAGCGCATACAGAAGCTGTGGAAGCAAGAGAGTATACAGGGGTCATCGTATTGTTCATTGCACAGGTAGCACAGCAGGGGGTTCCTCTTGGCCACATCGGTATCTTCAAGACTTTCCATTGGTTGGAAGATTTCCCCAGACATGGTTATCAGAGTCAGTCTATGTCATTGGCTGAACCAACCAGGGAAAACCTGAGGTTGCAGCAACCTCTAACAGAAGGTCTCCTCACAATCTGAAAAGAAATGCAAACAATCAGTAAATGAGCATTTAACATGAGAGATTTGAATGAGTGAGTTAGGTAAAATTGAACATTGTCAGTTTTCAGCCAAATAGTCACGAGAACAAGTTCATACATATCATAAATACAAGTCATCATAAATACAAGTCATATATAAAACTTTTCAAAGATGTCAGACCATGTGATTCACAAAACTGAACTGAGATTCTCAGTATCTCATAATATGAATATTAAAACAATTCAATGAGGTGGATCTTTGTCATCAGTGTTGATAACTGAAAATCGACAATGCTAAAAAACGGCATACAGAAAACCTATGAGAAGTAACATGCTGAGAGAATGTCATTCACAGGCTGATCAGTAATGTAACAGCTTCTACACTGTGGTAGTTTGGACATAACTATTGTGAACAGTAGATACATCAAGAAGTTGGCACCCGTGACACAAACACTTCATGCTAATCATCTAATCATAAGTTATAGTCATGTCACAGAAAACAATATGGCATCAGTGAGATAATGTTGTATGCAGCATGACTTCAGCTACCCTGCAGGGGTTTGACATTCTGTAAACCGAGGGTGACAGCATGAGTAACATTCTCAGTCAACCAAATGAGACATAAACCATCCTAATGCCTATCAGTGTTTTAATTGAGTAAGGATGTTTTCTATTCATTCATCATGTTCATATATCACATCTTCATGTTTTAACTTTTATATCAGTATTAGGATCTCATGGCTATATATCATGATACATATCCTATGTACATAAAATCAGTTCAAAATACATCAAAATGATGTGTTGATCCCGCTTTTTCCTTTGAAGCAAAACTTTCGGTATTGCTTAGGGTGTCTATTACATAATCATGATAATGTTCTCGTCATAGAAAGCAAGTCCTGTTACGTGTTAGTCTATCGGATACCCAGCTTTTATGTTCATCCGTACGATTTATAAACTTTATATCGTTACGTGAAGTGAAGAAGAGACAAAATAAGTCCAAATGAATGCAAACATGCCAAAAATCAAAAGGCAACCCCACTACTCTATCAACAATACCACAAACAAAAGAATTATTACAAGGTTTGTTTTGACATATTTGGGATATTTTCATCATTGGATGACATCTCGTTACTAATATTGTTTCACCACAAAGAGCGTAACAGCAATATAACTCTAGTATGAAAATGACAACACGGCACAATATAAAAAAGCGTCTGCCTCCAATTTCTTCAAAACCCCAAAAATAGTAGTTACCGAAGAATGCGATTTAGGGTCATGATGAGGATTCGCCTACTTCCTTTCATGGGCGCCGCCATTTTGAATGACTCATATTTTGTGAAAAACGTAACAATTTCTTTTCCGGCCAGGGAGTGAAAATACCATGTGTATTATTACGTTGAATTGACTTGGCTTTACATCGCTTAATCGTTGCTAGTGTACGTTTATATAAACATTCTTGACATACATGAAATTATCAAATAAAATAACACTTCAGTCTTGCAGTGTGTTAAGAAACGGAAAAGGAATATACATATAAGGATGTGGAAAATAACAAAGAGATCGATTAAATATTTTCAGTCTGCACACATATACCACATGTCCTGTGAGTTTCAATAGAATTTGATGTTAGTTAGTAGTGTATTAATCATGACAGTATCAAACCTTCACATAAGTGACCATAAGTCGTCTAATTCACGCGAAGCGTCTGTAAAATATAGATGGTTTCGGCAACAGCTCGAATTACTTTGTCCTCCTCGAGACATAGGTTTTGCACATAATGTTGCTGATCTAGTGTACTAATGTAAATTTCATCTTCTTCAAACGTTTATATCGTTTTGTGGGTGGTGGAGTGTGTTGGGGTGGCGGTGGCGGGAAGAGAGTAGTAATAATATCATAAATCAATAACATGCAATAAGGATGATGTGTTTGTTTGTTGTTTAAAGCCACACTCAGCAATATTCCATCTATATGGCGACGGTCTGTAAATAATCGAGTCTGGACCAGACAATCTAATGATCAACATCATGAGCATCA